TGGAACAAGTGTCAAGTCAATGTCAGTGTCAATGTATTTTACTTGTTGTTACTGAAGTTGCTGAATCACATTTTCATTGAAAGTCTCTGACACTTGTTTTAAGTAGTCCGGCTCGGACAGTGACACGGCACTGGATATAAATTTTAAATACAGCGATACGTGTTGTCATCATTATTTAACCGAGGGGTCCGAGCTGTCTGACTCACTCCATTCTCAGAGGATGTTTTCAGACTGGAATCTTGTGGCCTGTGAGCTTCTGGGCTGACATTAAAAGGCTAAAACTGTTTGAAGTAAATGTCATATGGTCAGTGTCATGCCCCCAGGGTCATCTCTCCTCTCACCTCCTGGCTTTTTTCTCTTGGCTACAAAAACGCTCTTTTCAAATGGCGAATCCAAAGATGTTTTATTCACATCCTAAATGACATGAAAAAATAGCAAAGAAAAAAAGAAAATTAGTGACTAAAACTAATGACTTTCCAATTAAATTGAACTGCTGAACTTCGTGGTTAGTTAGAAAATGTTAGCATGCTAACACGCTAGGCTAAAATGGTGAACACATTAAACATAATATCAGCATGTTTTCTGCTAGCATGGCTGTTGACACGTTTTGTTATTGCAAATAAAATTTTTGATTTCAAATCAAAATTTCCTTCTCTACAAACTGTAAAAACAGTCACTTAAGATTTTCATTTTGTCCTGTTATTTTTCAGTTTGACTAATTATCTAGCTGATTAAGTGTCAGTAACAGAATAATGACATCATAATGACAACAACAGTAAGTAAATGACTTTACTAATCGTCAGCAGCGTTTCTTTTTTACATACATGTTTTCTATACATTTGACTGTACAGTTTTAAGTCACATAGTTGTTTTCGAGGAAACCCTACGTCAAAGAGAAAGAGCAGTGAACATCAGACATTAACTGTGTGAACTGTGTGGCCAGTTTGACTGTATGGTTTCTTTTGTTGTTCACAGACATTCATGAAAATGCTACTGCTTCTAACTCTCCACTGGAGGGCGCCATTTCCTGATGGTGATGAAAGGAGGTTACAGAAAAGCAACTGACCTCCTGTTCTGTGGATGTTGCAATTGAAAAAAAAAAAAACCAAAACAACATACATCCTCTCTTCAGCTGCTGGAGCTTTAAATCTGATACAACAAACGTTCACTGTTTTTTGATGCACAAGCCTGAAACTGACACAAAATAAAAATGTCTGTCACAGTCCTGACCCTGCTCTCTTCTGACAAGAGACTGTTGGAGTTTACTAAGAAATACTCTGAATTAATCGAAGTGATACTTTGTGTGAATTCCCGATTACAAAATAAGTAACTGTTTACACTATTACTACTATTTACACAGACATAATAATGAGTTTCTATTCATTCAAACAAAGTGCAATTTGTCGAGGTTAAGTGTGGATTATAGGATTACTGTAACAAATACACGCTCTGACCCTAAGAACTAAGATAGTCCCTCTTGAACTTAACCTAACACTTGTTTTAATTGTTTATTATTAATTTATAATTTTTTTATTGTAAAATATATTGTACTTGTTTACTTGCTGTATTTATATTTTATTTTATTTCTACTTAAAAGGAAAAGATGAAGAGTGGCTTCAACTGGACACTATCAGGAGCGTTCATGATCATTGAGAAATTGTTAGCAACAGCGGTATCACGTTGTTAAAAAAAACACCAAGAAGTCACTTAAAATTTGGTTTTCATTTCACCAACATCGTACTCATTTGTGCAGCTGTTTTCTTTCATTTCACCACAAACAAAGTCTTCAACAAAATCCTTGTGTACACCTTTGTAACGCTTTATAACGCTGCTATGAAAATTTACAAAAAATTTTTTACTGTGCATATCATTAACCATGTACTGCCTGTTACAGTAAACATTAAAAAACCAAAAAAAAGCAAATACCATTTCACTTTAGAAATGATTTGTGTGTTCACTGGAGGGGCAGTCAAAGTAAAACTAAGAGAATACCAAAGGATTCTGATCCTCAAAGCAAAAACACTGTGAGAGAAACCCACATAATCTGTCAACTTTTGTAGACCACAAGTGGGTTAGAGCACATTGCTGATCTTAGGGATGATAAAAGTTAAGGTGGGGAAATTTACACACGAGAAAAACATGAGTAGGCAGGCATTTACTTGTTAAGCGGAAATTGGTTTCCTGTGGCAAAGATCTTTAATGTTCTCTTTCTAATTTTGATTATTGCTTTTGAATGAAAATGTTTGATCCTCTCTCAGTTCCTCTATTTTGAAAACCTCTACGTGTTTGAGGTCGGTAAAAAATTCCCCAAAAAAGTCTTCTTCTCCTTCACGTCTGATCGGTTGACCTTTTAAACTGCAGCACACATCGAGAACGACATGGGCAGAGGGCAAACAAAGATGAAGGTCATAGAAAAATAACCGAGGTTCAAACTTTGCTACACAGCTGGTGGGGCGTTCAAGTACAGTCTTAAGATCGAAATCATGATAAGCAACGTTAATGACATTCTTCAGGCTCAGTAACTGAAAACAGTGAGGTGTGAACTCAACTTCCTGTGTGTTTACAGCTCAGCCCTGAAGGAGGAACATGCATCAAAAAGTACAAATAGTTTCTCCCTCCTAAAATACATATGACAACACGTACAGTACATGAACTTGCTGTGCACTCTTGTTGTAGTTCCTGCTGTTTGGGGTCACTTTCCTAACCAAGCACAGGTGCAGCCTGCTCTTACTCACCTCCCACTGCTCCAAGAGCACAACTGCCAGCTTGTCCAGTTAAGCAAGGGGTTCCCTCACATGTCCTTACAAATATCAAATCATTGTAGGACATAGATTTCCTGTAGACAATGATGAAAGATGTCTCTTAAATTCAAGATTATTACGTGAAGTTCATGTAAAACAGGGAAGTTCAGATCAGGCCTAAAGTGATTGACAGGGTTTTTAAGGACTTTAAGAGGAACTTTATCTGGACAGAAGTTTAAGTTATTAATAGCTGAAGTTCAACGTTAAAAACGGCAGGTGAGAAAACAACCTCGAGGTCTGTTTAGTAGTCGATCACATCACGAGTTATTCATGTTTTTTGAAGCTGTGAACGTTACTGTGATAATTATTAAGAGTTGAGAAAAACACAAAATGCAGATTTTTCACTAAAAGTCAAACGAGTCAAGCCACATAAAAATATACTGCACTTTGAATCATATTTTTATTTCCATTTAAATTCTTAAAATTACATCTGCTCTTTCTGCTCTATTCAAAATATAAGACTATGAATATGCAAATGTTTTTTGCTTCAAAGGTTTTATTGCTGGAAACAAGAAGTGGGAGACTGGACCATGATTAGCTTTCAAACTGATGTCAGAAAATGCTCGTACTTACTCGTCTTAAACTCAGATTTAATGTCGGCACAGAGGGACTTTCTCCTTCAGCAGACGACTGTGAAAACATCCCTCTGGTGTCAAACTCTGCACATACATCAGTCTGCACAGTGAAGACACAAACATCCCAGTGAAGTAACAATAGGCACAGAAACATTTCTGAGTAAATATATGGTTAAAAATCTTTTTTGTTTGGGCTTGAAGTTGCAGATACCCCCAAGTAATCACTGATAGTTTTCAGCTTCATGGAAGCATGTGACAGGGGAAGGAAGGGAAGATCTTGGCAAGAAAACAGACTGTTTGAGGCTCTCATCTTTTTTTGCTAAAAGTGCAACTTTCTATGAATTCAGAGTTCAGTGCCCTTTCAAGATATCGTAAAGGAGGGGGACTATTTGAGTCATAAGTGGTTCTTTGTGGTTTTTTCTGTTTTTGCAAAACAGTTCAAATGTGACTTGAACAAAGTCCCCATCCACTCAAAAATTTATTTTACTTATTGTTGCATCAGGTTGATGTTGGACCGTCGCAGTGCAGAATCATGTAGTTACATTTTTAAAATGAAAAACCTTTGCACATTCATAGTCTATAGATTTTTTAGATGGAAGTTTTGAATTTAAAAAAGAAAAAAAGATAATTGAACTTTAACATATCAGACACAAATGATTATGAGAAGCATAATTTAAATGTCTTAAAACATGTCTGGATGGGATCTTTAACTTCAATGTGTTTGATTTTTCTCACTATTCTGAAAAACAATTAAATAAATTATATATTAGCTACTGGAGAAATGTTCTGTAGTGTATTAGAAAATCGTTTAAATAATCCTCCACAGAGATTTTCATTAAAACAAAACAAAAGAATGTTTTGAAAATGTTTTGAAAATGTCTTTTTAAATAATTTGGCTGAAAATAGAATAACTTAATACAATACAATTTACAATAATACAATTACAAAAAATACAAAGGCAATTATGATGCAATTATATTCAGGTTAACCACTTACATTTAAAGTAACTGTGACTATATCTCCTGGAGCGGGAGCACTCGACAGTGTGTGCTCACACTACAGAGATGATACGTGCGTTCGACCACAGTTCATTCAGTTGTAGAAACGGTTGAAGAAGCAGGTCTGTACTCTGAAACATTTCTTAAAAAAATGACTCCTCCACTGATTCAAAATGACACATTTCCCAATCATGTCTGTCTGCCTGAGTGGTGCAATTAGTGATTTCAAAATGATAACTACACTCAGTTCTTTGGAAGCAAAAACAGCTCGAAGAATTCCTGGATGCACTATAAATAAAATCACGTGTATTTCTGCTTTTAGTCACAGAGGCATCCTCATTCATTCAAACAGTCCTTTGCATCATTACTTTAACAGTCATTTCCTTTGGTTTGCATGTCAGATTAACTCTTATTTGAAATGCTACAGTCTCATATGCTGAGCAGCTCTATTTGTGGAAAGAAGAAGTACAAAGAAGACAACAGTTTTTCTTCAGACTCCAGGGGACCTACTGTCTTTATCTGAGTCCTACGAACTGTGTCTGAATGCGTCACCGCCCCTCAACACCATGAGCATATAACTCCCTAAAACATTTCCTCCTTGTTCACTCTCATGTCAGCTGCTTCTGTGTACATCATGACTGTGCTGTGACTGGCAGCAGGTTGTGGGTGAGAAGTTGTCTCAAAAACTCGCTGTGTGGGCTCCATGGTCTCTCAGTCTATCAGTCAGTCCCAGGAGTCATGGTTGCTCGTGGATTTCAGTTTGATTTTTTCAACTCAAAATGTTCTTCTTGTGCAGGCCATTCACATCTTTTCATCCTTGGTAAGTGGGCTATTCATTATTTCTTTTATTTAAGCAGTTAATTAATCGCCACAGTTTTCGGATTGAATTAAAACCATTATGAAATGCAGTCATTAACTCCTGTATTCAGTATTAAAGCTACTTTCTGCTTTTGTTCACACTGAAGGTCTGATTCTCGTTTACTACACTACAGCCTCCTCTCATGTTCACGCATTTTCAGGTAGGCTCACTACGGTTTGGTTTCATCTTCAGTCGTCACGCTGCTGCTCAAAGTGCCTCTAAAATAAAATGTGGTATCATGATAGTGAGAGTTGTTTTTCCATAGTGAGACACAGAATTCTGGTGAAATCGATTCTTTGAGGATATTGATCTAAAGTTTCACACACATATTCATATTATGTTCCAGTGAGTTGCAAATCAAAGAAAATTCTTTCCGACTATCAGCACTGTCAGCTTCAACCAGGTAATGAAATACATCTTACTCATCCCAAACTGAATCACCAGCTGTAAAATCAGATTAGAGATTTGTTTCTTTACTCATAATCATTGCTGTAGCTGCCTCTCTTTCAGATGGCGTCCATGATTTAAACTGTTTTGGTAAATATATTGATCGTGGTTTAAAAACGTGTGTGTGGAGACCTGGAAATCACACATCAAAAAAAACATACACACTCATCATACAACAGTGAGTTTTACATTTCCTCCTTTTTAGCTTATAAATCCTTTAAATTACACATATTGATGATGTTTCAGCTGATTCTTCAAAGTGTTTCGCTTTCTAGACACTCACAGTGCAAAGCATACAAGAACATCTCTACACTCTCTGAAAGCGTTGCTGTATTTGCGAAACAAAACATGACAGCTGAGGTCTTCGAAAAGAGCGAGTCAAGAAACTGCACAAAAGCAGTTTTCAGGGCTTCACCAAATAGCATATGTAAGTCCATAAAAATGTTTTTCTATGAGCAAGTTTCTTTCAATGTTTCTCTTTTTGATGATCAACCTGAATACGGCTAAAAATCTTTTTATATTTCAGTGCGATGTGGTCCTCCAGATAAAGTCTCCTTCAGCCGCCAGTTTGGAAAACTCAGTGTGACTGTGAGCTGGCAAGAAGATGACCAAAAGGTCATTGAGTTTTACTCTGTGAGATATAAAGCAGTGGGCAGCCTGTTATGGAGCGAGGTCAGTATTAAACACCTGCTTAAAACAAAACACTTTGTGTGCGGCTAACACGCTCATAATTACAAGGCTGGTGATTAGCAGGTATAATGCTAACTGTACTCACTGCATGCTACTGTTTGCTAATAAGCACTGAACACAAAGTACAGCTGAGGTTGATGGGAGTGCCATTGTTTTGCAGGTATTTTGTCATAAACTTTGAGTGGATGAACTGAAATGTTACCTGATTATAGCAGTAAAATTCAAAGTTGAGTGATCACCAAAGTGACTACAGTTCATCCCGAGGGCTCCATGAACGTCTGTACCAAATTTCATTGCATGACGATTAACTCTTTGTCAACCTCATGGTGGCACTTGAGGAAACAAATGAAAAGGAAGCATCGTCTGGAAGCCATAAATGTCCATGTGCCAATCTATCACGTATATGTTGAGATATTTATTATTATTATTATCTATTATTGATATTTACAAGCCGAACTCAAGATCAGGGTTATTATCTCAAACTTGAATTTGCTCCCTGTCGCTGAGGACATCTTAAATGTGCCTTTATACTTTTTAAAAAAAGTGGAATGCCCCTTTAAACCTTTCGCTTTTCAGAGGTGTCTTTGTCTGTGGCTTTTTATTCTGCTACCCTAAGGTCTCTCTCTTTTACACAAGAGAGCAATGAGATCAGCTGATTAATTAAATATGTGGTCTAGTCATTCATTTCTATGTTGTTCACAGCATCCAGTGCAATCCCAAAACGCAGGGAGATGTACAGTGAAGAATCTCAACTCCTCACTGGTGTACAGTGTACAGATACAGTGTGTCTCTAATGAAAAATGTTCACAGTGCCCATGGAGTCAAACCTACACTGTCCCATCAGGTTAGTTTGTTTCTATTTTATTGTTTTAAACTCAATATGGCATCAAAAAGAAGCTGTTTCTATATATTTGGTTAACTGTGGTGAAGTAATAATCATATTCATCAAGCAACTACCAACGAAATGTTGTTTAAAAAGTGTTTCGACTCCACGAGATGATTACAGGGATAAGTTAAGTTTAAGTTAAGTTAAAGCTGAAATAATGTTTCTTATCCTCTTTCAGAACTGACAACTCAGCCCGTCGATGTCAGCCTCACAGATACTGACATTGGAGAGAAAATAGGCAAAAGGCTGCTTTCTTTAAACTGGAAGGTATTTTTTTTATTTATTTTTTTTGTATCTTCTCACATTTTCCTTCATTAGAAATATATTATGATATAACTGATGTTAGCAGGATAATTAAAGGACCCTGTGTGTTAGCTTTCTGCAGTAGGGCTGTATGACGGCTTCAGTGTGACAGTTGGTAAAACGTCAGGAGAGCGTCCGTGTGAACGGATGAACACCGCTCAGCCTGAGATCAGACTGATTCTCTCCTACTCATCTTATCATCTCAACATCAGCGCTGTCAACAACGCCAGCACCTCCCCAGCTTTGAGCCTCACAATACCACAGCGAGAGGACATTCCCAGTGAGTTCTCACTTAAGTTCAGTGATTTTTTTCCAACATTTAATCATACATCTTGTCTTCTAACTTTGAGCATGACTGTTTTTAGTCCCTGAAAAGCTGAAAAACTATTGGTGTATTTCTGATTATCATACATTTGTATTGACAGGTATTGAAGATGGGAAGATGAACATTACAGTCCACAGCAATACATCTTTTACTGTCTCTTGGAAAGATGATCTCATCAAAACTTATGTCTGCTATTGTGTGGAGTGGAGGAAAAATGGGCATAAAACAAACTACAAGTCCTTTTACCAGAATGAAAAAAACAACAGGACCTTATCTCTTATAGGAGGTGTGTAAATATTAACACTGTGTTTATGTTCTGTTGATATTTGAGCTTTTCTTTTTTAATTCATTTCTAAAAATTCTGTTTCCGCTTTGTTATTATAGAGTATCGAGGGTAGACTGATGATTCATTTAAATGACTTTAGCAAAAGGCTGGAACATAACAACATGTGATTTCAGTTTCCTGCCTCTGAGATAATCCATTTTGGTTATTTGAAATAACCAGAGCCTCTGGAGCCTTACGAGAGATACAGCATCACTCTGCACACACGACCAGAGAAGGAGACTTGCAACATGAAGTATATCAACAACAGTGAGAGCACCTATGGGAGAACCCAGTTCTATTTCATTGAAGGATGTAAGTGAAAGTCTCTCTACCTTTCCAATATGTCTTTGTTTGATTGTATAATACTATTGCTTCAGTCCATCGCCCCATTAGCAACTCTATACGGCTGTAATGCCCACCCAGATAGCAGACACATTTGGGCCTAATCTGGGCCACTTCTGGTTCTTACAGCTCAGTTACGACAGTGGAAATTGCCGTGTAGGCCAGACGTGGCCCAAATATACAAGCCAGGTCTGACTTTGGTTGTAAGGCTGTAAAGCTCATTGATAAGAAAACCAAGCTGTTGTAAAGACAAATTAAAGAATTGGACAAATTGAAATTCTGACCTGATGATGGTAATGAAGAGTCAGGGGATCACCAAAGTTCACAAAGACTGTAAATGTCTGCATCAGATTTCATAACAGTCCACCCAGCAATTGTTGAGATATTTAAAATATCAACCAGCTGGTGGCGCTAGAGGAAAAGTCAAGGGGATCACCAAAGTCATTGGGGATCGAGAATGAGCATAATTTCATGGGAATCCATCCAATAGTTGTTGAGATATTTCAGTCTGAACCAAAGTGGTTGAACAACTAACCGAAATGTTTCTCCCTAGCAAACAAGGATAAAGATCATATCTACTAGACCAACACTGCAAGTTTCTTCTTATCCTGTCCGTAACAAAACAGTCTGACTCCTTGATATTGTGTCTGCACAGCTCCTGTCAGCGCGCCCACAAACATCAGCACCTACAACGTGACGCTGGACTCAGCGGGGCTGCAGTGGTTGTCCATCCCGGAGGACGACCTCAGAGGTTTCCTGCTGGGTTACATAATCCACTACGTAGAGTACGACCAAAGGGGGACAAGTACAGAGAAACGTCAGTAACATCCACCCTAAACTAACTTCTATACTTGTTGTTTTGGTTTATCAATAAATAGAAATCATAGATTCAACTGCAAAGTTCAGCAGAAACATCAATGGGTTTCCTGTCTGCCAGCTGGTTTGTTTATCACTGTCTCAGTCTCTAGAAGTTTCTGAAGAAAATAGTCAAACTAAAATTCAGATGCAGACAGACTTTATAGCCACAGTCACCACAACATTAACTGTTGGTCTATGGCTTCAGTAGTCTGATAGAGGATCTGATGGTTCGGCTGACACGGCTGTGAAATCTGAGCCTATAAACATCCTTTCATGTTGGCTGAACAATCCTGTTTAACTATATAACCTGTTCTTGTTATTATATCTAAATGCTATAGTTAGCCAGCTAATGTAAAGGGATTGACAAGTAGGGTTACATGAGCACCAGTCTGTTAACATGGCTAAAAACTATTTTTGAAATAATGTTATATTATTTGGAAATTCAACAGGTGGGCCCAAGTTGCATTGGTAATATGTTGACAACTGTCACTCTTTGATAGTAGATGTTACAGTGGATCCGAAGTTTGATACCTATGAATTGGGGGATCTCAAAGAAGACGCAGCATACCAGGTGCAGATATCAGGTTTCACTAAGGCGGGAGCAGGAGTTCGAAGCACACCATACGTCTTTAAAACAAATCAGCAAGGTTATATCAATCCAACACCTTTTTAACATTTTTATAAAATACATTTTCTGATATTTACATTCACATCAGATTCTAAAGATTAATCTTTCTTCCATTTTTTCCTTGCATAGGATATTTTGATGTTAACCGAGCAGGTCTCATCTCTATCTTTGTTGTTGCGGCCGTTGTGCTGATATTTGGATCTCCAATAATAAAAAGGTACAATATTTAAGAAACTATGTCGAATGCACAAACTCACTAATCTTAACATGATAAAATATATCTACTTTGCATGTACTCTACTCAACTCGATCTACTTCATCTAGAGCAAAAGTCATTCTGTGGCCCAGCATACCTAACCCTGAAAATAGCAATGCAATGCAGAAAATAGAAAGACCCTGTGAAATGGTAAGTGTCCGTTTGTGCTTTTAGTAAATGTACCACCAGATTTACTCTTTACATTGTGGAGACCAAACAAAACCTCAAACTTCCAGCTACCGTGACAGTAAATTGGGTTAATTCTGCTTGAACTCAATCAAACAGACTTACGCTCCTTGGTGGCCAAAGAACACCGTCTGGCTTTGCAATCCCTGCACCCAATGCAATCTCAGTCCATACTTGTTCTCATCTGTGGTTCCCCAATGGTGGAACAAGCTACCGAACGCTATCAGAGCAGGGACGTCCCTCTCTTATCTTCAAGAATCTCTTGAAGACTCATCTCATTCTGAGAGCGCTTCCTCTCCTAACACCTTTAACACCCTAACGTGTCTAGCTAGCTTTTACTATGCACTTTCAGTTCACTTCTTTACTCAATCTCCTTGCAATTATTGAATAGAAATATTTAGTATTTAATCCAAAGTCTCCAACTGCACTGAAGCTTTAGTGAAATCCCTCACTTGTGAGTCGTTTTGGATAAAAGCGTCTGCCAAACGAATGTAACGTAAAAGTAATGAGCCCTACAAGAGGCAATACTGCAAAATTCCTATAGCTGCAGTTTAAGCTGATGACATGAGGATTTAACTTATATAATACTGTCAGAAGTATGTTGTTAAAGCTTGTGAAATTAGTATATTAAGGAATTTTTTCACTATTTCTATTTCACACAGGAACTGCTAGAGTCCATCAGCGCTCTGAAGGTAGTGGAGTGGGATACAAATAGTCTTCAGATAGTTGAGAAAGAGGCTGTTCTTACGAGCATGTTACCGCTTCACCACAACTCAGAAGATGAGGGTGACTCACCAGAAACAACGGGTAACTGGATCCAGAGAGACTCAGAGGATGCAACTGGAGATAGCCTTCCTCATGATACCAGCGACACATTCTCAAACGTAGAACAGACAAACTTCCAGAGTTCTACGATTGCCTTTTCAAGTGGATATACAACAATGGAAATGTTTCAGCAGGTGAGGCCTCAGGCGAATACAGCCATCACTCCGGCCATGGAAAGTGATCCAGAGGACACACATGAGGCTGTGGTGAAGTCAGGATTGGCCTATGTAAGACAATTTAGTACCAGCCCAATCTTGGGCAGCGAGGAGATGACCATGATTTCGTGACAACAGGTTGGGACTGGACTGCAGAACTGGACTGCAGAGCAGGAAGAGGAAGGAACACGGCCTGCACCACTGTCCATTGTCTCAGTTCTTCATGGCAGTCCAGAGGTGGACTATGAGAGTTTGCTGGTTGTTGCGGGTCAACAGCATTGACTCAGTCTTATATCATCAATAACAATACTACAAGTACATTTATCTCAGTGTTTATGTCAACTGCCAAAATTGCTGAAGTGTATTATAAAGACAGAAGTCCAGTTTAACTTCTTAAGACAGTTTGTTTTTCTTCCTACTTCCCTTCTTCACATACTTGTATATCTGTACTACCTGAACAATCTCTTCTGTCCATGCACATCATCTCTGCTCATTTCTGTAAGTGCACATTACATTTCAAAGATCTCAAATTCCATGTGTAAATGTGAATACCTCACAATGCCCTCATTTACAGGCCATGATTGACCCAATAAACACAAGTGTATCAATGTAATCTTTGCAATGCAGTTGCCTCACTCAGATCTCCTCGTCAGATCTCAGTCAGCCTTTTAATTGCGTATACTCACAGTTATCTTGTTTGCAACACCGAGCGCCCGTAAGAGCAAGCATAAAAAAAGACTGAGACAGCCGTTCTAGCGCCTCTGTGAGGCTGTGAGATAAGTCCTAACGTCTTCGTGATGAAATAGTCATGATGATAATGATAACGCAAGCATTTAGCAGGTACACACATAGCCAAAAGCATTGTCACCCTTCTACTGAAAGATTAAAAGATTGAGATAAAGTGACACTGACAAACATAATTGGCATGCACTGTTCTCTACTCCATTTTTTTATAGAGCAGACTCAATGGTTTTGATTTTTGATGTAACATATTTTAAATATTAAAATGAATGAAAATGTCATGGTAAAAAAAATCAGGTTCCCTTAACCTAGCATTGTGGCAGACTCTTTTGGGGCAATCATTGCAATTAGGGCACATTCAGTAGCTCTTTAAAAGACTTCTACACTTCTCAACCGGCTCTTCTTGAGCAAACTCAGGAGATGATGTTTAGTTTGATTAAGATCAGGACTCGTAGGAGGAAGCCACCTCAGAATGGAAAACTGTTGTTTTCTTCTCATCCTTTCTTGGCTGTACAGTATGTTTTGGGGAGGAGCTATGACTTCTGACTGAGACACAGTTCTCGGACAATGGGAAGTGCTCCAGAATGCCTTGATGATCTTTTCTAATGTTCCCTGCCCTCATTCAAGGCTCCCTGTGCTAGATGCAACAAAGCAACCTCATAACATAACTGAGCCTCATCCATGTTTCACAGTGGGGATGATGTTCTTTCCTTTGAAAGCTTCATCTTCTCTTCTGTGAACACAGAGCTGATATGACTTCAACAAAAAGCTCTAATTTTCTTTCATGTGTCCAAAGGGACAGTCTCCCAGAAGACCTGTGGCTGGACGGCATGACACAACACAGGGACTAAAACATTTGAATGAAAAGTCTCTTTATTGTGTGTTTTTGGAAACAGATCAGATAGATTTTTAGATTCAAACTGAAGAAGATCAGATATATACATCCAAGGTCTTCAAAAACAGTGTTAGCAAATCTTTGCATCAAGCGCCCAGTCCCCCCAGGAGAAAACCATGGAACAAGTTTTTTTTTTTTACAAGTATTTACCATACGTAGTGGATACAGGGGTATAAAATATAAAAATCTTCACATACTGTCAGTCGTGTTGGAAATGCTTTTTTTTTTTTTTTTTATTACTGGACTTTATCACAGGTTGACCACTTCAAACTGAAGACGTGTCCACATACAAAACAAAGAAAAAAAATACTGTAAAATCAGATTTTTAAAATCAGTAAAGAAGTGGAATTTGGCAAAGACAAAGACAGCGATAACGTCTCCTTTTAAAAATAAAGCTTTTAAAGTATAACAAGCTTTCATAGGAACTGATCTGAATCTGGGGCCAGTTTACAGATACATTTTCTTGATACATCACTCAACACTGGCTTTGTTAACACCAAAAATGACAGAAATTAACGTTAAAAAACAAACAAACTAATCCACAGAAGTCCCATGAAGGTTCAACCTATTCCGCTATTAATCACTACAGACAGCTGACAATACTTTATTATAACATCTCAGTTTCAGCAATTCAACATCCATAACAATAAATTCATGGTAGCATCTGTCAATAAGTCTCCGTATTTTATTAGAATATTCTGTACAATCTATGTCTAGGCACTTTTTGACCCTTCTGTGCTTACGAGCAGTACGTTGACCTCTGACATATCTTTTTCAGCCGCTGTGGACTTTATGAGCATCTTAACTTCCTCCAGAAATATGAGCCAACAGACATTCTGCACACCACCATCATTTTACAGTATAGGCCTGTTTTGTAGCTATAAAACAGTTAATAGTTTTTTCTCTCACAGCATTACAACAATAACAGGAGAAAGAACATGATTCATTGTGATCTTGTTGCAACAACTAGAAAACAGAAAAAAAAAAATATATATATATATATATATATATATATATATATATAAAAAGCAAGTACATGTACAGGACAGAAACAGGAAATAAAGCCATGGGTTCATGTTGACCAAATGACCATACATTTTACAGGACATGGCAGTTCCCAGATGGAGGAAAATGGTGCAAAACAGGAAATAAAAGGTCTTTCACAGACCTTGTAGTTATAATTTTCCTTCAACAGCACACAAAGGGCAAATGAGCATTTCAGTAACAACAGAAATCGCTGTTTTCCCACCATTTTTTTTAGACCCTGAACATGTACTAACATGTATTTAATGTATTAATCATGTAATATACCATTTGCTTCACTCAAATGAACAAACGGAATACAGGAAGTTGCAGTCTCAACCACACCAAGGTCACAGCAGCAAAATAAGGACAACACTTAGACCCGACACACCCTCACTGTGACCCCACTGTGTCATAAAATAAACGTCTTCCTTTTTAAAGAATATTTCAGCTGCCTAATAAAAGAAAACTGGTTGAGTTGGTAAAAGAACGTTGTTTTAACTTGAGCGTCCTGGGTAACATCATAATCAGTGTCATTTTCCAATACATATTTGTTACGTTTCGACAAATGCAACCGATACCACAGACAGTATCACGTACTTGTCTGGGCAGCTCTACCGTCTCTGGAAAACAGTTGTTATATGATATATGAAAGGCCATATAAGAAACCTATGATTCAAGTGGAGGCGCTAAAGACACTTACAATTACAGAATATTAAAGAATTTCTTTAAAATCAAACTCTGCTGCTCTTAATCCACTCCCAAGATTGAAGTCGCAGCCAGACAGAAGCCGATGCAGATCGACGTGACCGGATAATAAAGTTTTACTGAAGTTTCAAATGTGTTAGAATTGTAACACTTTAAGTTAAATGCTGCCTGAGGAAGTTTGCAAAGCTTGAAATGTGATGCAATCCCGAGTAGCTGCCAGTCCTGGCCTGTTTTCTGTTCTGTTTTTGCTTGTACAGTAGAGCGCAGATTAAATGTTTTAATCATGTGTCTGCACTCGACAGCTCTGCTCCTTTTTGCTTTTGTGATACCTCTGATTATTTTACAGCCCTACTTTTCCACTGATTCTCATACACCACACGTATGGAGGCCTTGAGTGGTAATAATGATTAGTGTTAAGTCTCTCTACCACTGAAAACCACTGCAGACATAATTTAAGAGTATTTATTACCGTTAATGCAGATTGTTGCAGTATATTGCTTTTTGCAATATTTGGACAAAAACATATTTTATGTCTTACATACTTTGACATAAACAATGACATTCTCGGAGGCTTATAAAGCTTTTTGGACTATTAAAGCGTACAGTCACGATGTCACTGGAGGAATAGATGGAAACATTTTGGTCTTTTTAAAATCTGAAGTTAAAACGCAGTTCTCAGTACAAACTCTTCCTGTGGGACTTCTGCTTGGTTCTGCCTCAACTCTTTTTTTTTTTTTAATGACTTTTCTAAGATACATTATTGATCCTGTGGTGACAGACTGTGACGATGCTCAGCAGCTGGTTCAGGCCTGCGCATGTTTCTGAACCGCTGGTCCAGATGTCTAGCGCTTCAGTATCTCCATGGAAACAAGACAAGTGCTTGAGTTCTTCAACATAAACTATTGGAGGACACTGGAGAATATGTACAGTATCATGCAGCCCAGTTCTGTTGCCTTGACAAACCGACTTGATTCTCATCAGTTGTTGTTGAGGCGCTGATTCCACTGTTCGGTACTTTCTGTCTTGTATTGCTGTGTTACATTAAAAGTCCCAGCATCTTCGACCGGCCTGTTAAACAGAAGAGGCGGGGCCACCTCCGCAGTGCTGAGTGCTCACTTCCTCTTTAGTTGGGACACTGACAATGAGCCAAATTACAGGATCCATGTTGCCAAGATGATTCTTTATCAAAAGGAAATTGAACAAAAATAAGGTTGCACCACAGGAGACGATGATGATGATGGGGAAAAACACACTGCTGTAAGTGGTTTTCCTGTGTTTATGAATTTATACGCACGCAATGGGTGTTGAGATCGTTTGATAGATCAGGATTTAGTTTCTATAATCTCGTAGCAGTCACTTGGTGCTGTCTGCACCCACAGCGGCATCCTCCTTGCTGTGAGTCACGTAGCTGCCGTTGTGCTGGACGCAGGGTGATAGTGTCATGTCCTCGCTGGGTGTTGCCGAGTCCTCTCTGTCACTTTCATAGTCGTCCTTTTCTCTGTCATAGTCCCTTCCCACCTGAAAGAACAACGATCGAACCTGGTCAGACAAAACTTGTCCAAAATAAGACTGAAAGGAAAAAATACTTAATACATATTCATTATTTTGAAAGGAAATGAAAATTTGAAACTGGTTTAATTTTTACATTTCCATGGCTACATTTAAGCTCAAACCTGATTAGTTTGATTATGACAGTAATTCATAAACAACAGATCTGGGGCAAAGAGTCATAGATTAAAAAAGTACTTGATTAATCCCAAAGGGAAATTGCAAAAATACAAATTTAAAAAACACACAAGAAGCAAAACCGACACTGTAAGGACATTCTGTGGTAGATAAGAAACAATAAAAGCATTCATAACTGAAATCTTAACTAGAGCTGAACTAAAACTGAAAAACTAGGACCATACTTAAAAGGCCTAGTAATATTCTGAACATGGTTAGTGAAGTAACTATGAAAGTTAAGGTGCAAGTTTCCTGGATTTCTCACCATGATTTTAGAGACAGAACTCAAGACGATTAAATCAATGACACTTCTTATTTTATGACATTATTTTCATATCTATTTGATTCAGCTCTGATCTGATCTTTCTCTAAGTCGTGAAGGTAGACAAAAACAATGTGATTAAGCTTATATCACAAAAACAATTATAATCATTTGTGTCTTCATTAAACACACATTAAACATTCACAATGCAGCTGGAGAAAGTACGTGAACCCTTGGATTTAATAACGGGTAGAACTTCTTTTGGCGGCAATAACCTCACAAGGGCTTCTGGCAGCTGCTGATCAGACCTCGGACCATTCTTCAAACAGAACTGCTTCAGCGCAGACGTATTCTTTAGGACGTCTGGTGTTGAGCGGCTCAAACTCAGGTCATTCACCAGCATCTCTACTTTAATAAGGTCTGGGCCACTCCAACAGAGTTTGGTGAAAACTTCCAGGACGCACTGGAAAATCAATTGGCAATATACAACCACTAGGAGCTTAGTCAGCTCTGCAGCATCATGTATTGTATAGTGTATTTAGTCATATTTTGGGTAAAAGTATTGTGTGGGAAACACTAGCAGTAGAGATGGATAGCTTAGGCTGATTAATTATGCTGTAGCAGACGATTAGGATGTTACTATGGAAGCTTACACTACTATATTTTCAAGCTACTGTCTACAGGGGCGAGCGTTTGTTTAAAAAAAAGAAAAGAAAAAGAAAACAGATCTGGCGTTGAGCTTTCTGCAGTGCAGTTTCTCATAAAACGAACATTTTGCAAAGTTTGCAGCAGTTTCTGAGAAGAACATTTGTTCTGCCATCATATGGCGAACGAATGTTCTGATTGTTATCAACAGGGAAGATAAAGTGTGACAAATCTAAAACGTGACACCTTTCCTCTCGGGGCTATCACCTCTGTGCAATCTTCACAGTAAAAGAAGGAGTAGAGTAGGAGGAGTAGAAGTAGGTTGGTGTTTGTTCATTGTGCTTTGATACTGGAGCTACATTCAGCAAAGAAACAAGATTACTGGGGGGGAATTTATTTGTGGACGGGAAACCAGAGATGTGCAGACAGGCAGCTGGTCGACGATACACGCAACCTGATGTTTGAATAGAGGTCGGTACATTTGAACTGAAACAGTTATAAGATCTGATTTGAGCATATTTTCAGAGTTAAAAAAGACGACTTTCATGTCAGCATAATAATTAATATCTATCATTGAAAAGCCTGAATAATTTACTTTGATGACAATTTATAAGAACAGAAATATGATCTTGAAGCTACATACACAAGTTTGTTGATTTATGTGTGTTACACATGGCGCACTCTTAATTATTCAAGACAGAACCATGATGCCTCTAAAAAACTGAGGTGGTAGATACTACAGACGGTATAACACGCAGGATATTTTGGAAATCAGGGGCAGGGGTCGTCATTCTGACCGAGCTTCTGGAGGAACTTCAGTGCTGGCATTCCTGGTTTGACATGATCTGGTTCTTCTAGTTCTCATTCAGATTCTTATCATCCTTTGAAACATTTATAGGATTATTCATTTGATTACTGCAACTGTCTACACTTTCCGCACTGCTCTGCAGGCGTTCTTTAAATTTCCGTACAGTTTGGATAATTGCACTGCAATGTGTACAATGATCAGTTTCCGTCATTCAGCACTGTCCACTCTTTTTTGTTTTATACAAGAACTGCACAGCAAAATATGTTACTTACCTCGATGTGTTGAAAATTCCTCCTTCTTCCAAACTGAAAATTAAGCGCCTGCTGCTGCACTTTGGCTGACACCTCTTTTCCCATTCTTCTCTTGCAATATTTACAACCGATCCGCTAGATTCTATTTTATACTACTTATTTTGGTTTGTAGATATTTCAGCGAGGAGTAGAAATTAACTGACCGCACACACGATTGATCCAACAACGTACTGTACATACTGGTTGCTGATACTCTTTAATAAAGACCAGAATGACCACAGCAGCTCATTTCATTTGTCTACTTGATTCGTCTGTGTTTGCAGGTTACAGTCTTTCTTTCATTGATGCAAAAATAACACAGGCTTTACTTTAAGAGCCCCGTGTGTCGCATCTCATCTAACTTATGTCCAGACCAAGTTGCACAGAATTACGATTTATCTTTTCAAATGACAGACAAAGCAGGAGCAGAACATTCTGAATGACATAATATTTGATTTTGTTTACTTTTTGATTTTAAAAACTTGTATTTAATTCACTGTTCAAATGCTCTACTGAGCTGTGCTGTAAAATATAACTGCATTATTGATAATTAACGAAGACGATGATTAAGGAGATTGCTCACAAAATGCATCAGCTGGCAGGTGTATCGAGCACTTGTGCCACAGGAAAGAGGAAATCAAGGTCACTGATAATGTCTTCCTCCGACCAAAGTAGGGAAACGCTGAAGGAGGGAGCTCCTTCCGCTCCTCTGCTTTTTACAACACTGCCAGACACCTTATTTTCCTCCTCGTGCCTGAGAAGTGTTTTAGAGCAACAAAGCTCGGCTCATTATATTATCAGTGGTGTGACAGCTTTATTTTCCACGTCGGTGAGGAGAGACCGATCAGCAGATTCTATATCAGCGAGTATCAGAACACAGTGTGTGTTTTTCCACTGAGGTTTCCCACGCTGTTAGCCTTAATTACCTTCACTGGCTTGGCCTTGCTCTTTATCCTGTCCTCGTCTTTGCGGCTCCTCTTCCTGGATGTGGAGCGGTCCTTTCTTTCCCTGCTGCGCTCCCTCCTCTTGTCTTTCTTACCCCTGAAAGAAGCCAACGTAAACAAAGCGACAGTGAGGACCAGTAACAACCTTCAAGACACCAGATAAGCCTAAACCCTGATATATACTGTGCACACAGTAAATCACAGGACAAACACCGGAACCTCAAAGGGCTCAGAGCTTCAGAACATCTCAAACCAGTGTAGCAGGATGACATCTGATGGATTTACCTCTTCAGTGAGGGTGATCTTGCTTTCCTCCGAGGGCTCCTGGATCGATCCTTACTCCTCCTCCGGTGGCCCCTGGCGACAACACATTAAATGGATTAAGTGCGGTTTTGGAGACAGTGTGAGCTACAAACAATACAAGCAACAGTGTGCCAAGAAATATATATCAGGGGTCAAAATCCATTGCTGTATTATAGATAAAACACCTCATATAAGGTTTAGAAGATACTACAGTCAACAGGAGCCAATCTCAGGCAGCTACTAGTCTTATTAAGAACCTGGTGACCCCTACTGCAAGGTGCAGGAATAACACCATGGCAGCAGAGTGGTTTAGTTTTAGATTTAGTCTTCTTAATAACACAGTACCTAAATTATTGCAGGACTGTAGCATCTTAAATTAAATGACAGCAGCAGATGGTGCCTCACAGCCAGTTTGGCTCCAGGCCACTAAACAGCATTTGGACTTGTTATAAAGTAAAACTGATCCTTTGGAGACTGATGCCTCATATGTTGTTTGTTTGTTACCTAGAGCGACTTCGACTGTGTTTCCTGTCTTTGGAGCGAGAGCGCCTCCTGTGGCTGCTTCGGGAGCTGCGGGAGTCATTCCCAGGCCACGACCTCTGCGACGGTCTACTCCAACAAGAGGAAGCAAGAAAAAAAAAGTCACGATCATCATATGATCACAGCATCAAGAGAGTGAAATCTGAAAACGCCTAAGTATTAAATGGGAACCTGTGTTTCGAACGGGATCTTTTCCTGCGCGTTCTCGAGTGTGAACGGGAGTGTGAGCGTGAGCGGGACCTGCGGGACCTTCTGGACCGGCTGGACGATCGCGTCTTTGTGTCCGCTACAGCAAGAGCAGCAAACTCAGCATCAGAATACAACACAACTTCTTTGTTTTATCATTAAATCTCGATGCATAAAGCAAATGAAAATGTGTCACCTGGTTCTATGGCGGCAGCGATGGTGGACTGGGCCTCCCTCACCCTCTTCATCACACTTTCTAGCTCCTTAGCAGCAGCCTGTGGCGTCAGCTCTGGTGGTTTCACTATGGCGTTATTGGAATGATTCACCCTGAAAGACATGAAACAATCTCAGCTGACACAAACAAGTTATTTTAAGTAAATGGGTTTTTCCATTTACAATGTCTGATGCAGGATTTGACTGAAGAATGATCTTTGAACAAACAATACACACTTCAGAGGTCTGTCCCCGAACATGACTCCATTGAAGGTCAGGGCTCTGGCGACGGAGTCCTGCTCAACAAACTCTACGAAGGCGAAGCGTGTCGGCTGCGTCTCATCTCCGGCCATTCGCACAAACTTCACATCTCCCACCTGCTTGAAGAACTCCAGCAGCTGCTCTGCTGTGGTGGTCTGTGGGAAATAAAATGCACAAAAAAAAATGTGTGCATAACATTCGCAAGTACAGAATGTAAAGGTTTGATTTCCTGTCTGAACCAGACTGGGGCTGCTGATTGATTAGGATTGCCTCCAGTTTGCTTAAACCACAGTAAACAAGTTGGAGGTCACAGCCTTATGAGAGTTTCTGGTAGATTTAACATCATGTTACCTGTGAGTTTAAGTTGCCAACATAGACCGTCCTCCTGATTTCATCGATTTTTGAGGGATCCACATTCCCCATGAGGGGGGGCTGGGACTGCACTGACGCTGTGGGGTCAAGACTGGCCGGCATCCGATTCACTACTGGAAGGTTGAGCTGAAAGTGGAAAACACACACTGGTTTTACTTACACGACAGAGAATTACACGGACGACACGGCAACAGGAGAGCTACAAGATGCTGACTCACATTCTGAAGCGGAGCTGGAGTAGGGATTGGTAGCAGTCCCCCGCCAGGAATCAGACTGGGTACTGGAGTGGCAGGTGCCAAAAGTGACAAGGCCTTGGCCTCCTCTGGGATTTTCCCTGCAGGACAGAGGCAGATATTAGTGAAGGCAATAGAGGGACTCGTCTCTGTTTCCTCTATGTCTGCACAATTAGCCCACTGTATTCTAGAGAGAAAGAGAGCATACACTTCCCCATCCAGCCTACAAGTGTGCTACTGTCTACTCATGGTATACTGGAGACCGAGCATCCTTACTTTGCTTTTATTACATTATTCTTCTCAGTCAATCTGAATTATTATTTTCAATCAAGTGCAAAAATCTTAACTTTTTTTTTCACAAACAAAAGAACACTGATTTTGTCCTTGGTCTCTTTTCATAGATCAAAAAAAGAAAAAAAAAACACAATGCAGAGAATGAGTCAACACTTTGATGCATGGGTCACCTGTACTGGAAACATATTGGTCATGAACCATACGATATCAAGCATGGGCGCTTTTCCGTGGGGCGATCGTTTCGCAGTGTTGGAAAGGTGTGCAACACAAGACAACCCCAATGGCTGCATCACTAATAGCACACAGAACATCAGATACAGAAAAGAACAACAATTTTAAGAACTGTAGGAAATGTTAGCCAAGACTTAGCTATAAAAAACAACCAAATTAGGAACTGTGCTCATTCCACTGTGGGTTAAAATCTGCTGAAGGAGAAGGGTAAAGTACAACTAAAAAGAGACAAAATAACTACAAATTCAGTTCATTATAGCTGGAGGCACTGAGCATGAATGACCATTTATGCAATGCGACAAGTTTCCTAGTGCTAAACAAATAACGACGCAAAACATTAATGCATGTGTCACGAATTTCCAGGTTCAGAGAGGAAATGATGTAAAATGGATAAATTCTGTGTTATTATTAAATACTAAACATCCACATCAGAGCTGTAGGGTAGTAATGTGAGGGAAAAACTCCTAAATCTCTCCAGATCAAAAGTGCAAATAGAATTTAAAAGATTCTATCTTCAAATGAGGTAAAGGTTTTATTACTGGGTCTCACTTTTACAACGTCTAGCCCCTCACTACATCAACAGGAGAAGGAGACAAGAGAGTAAAGGGTTAGTGATCCTCCTAGCATCCCATGTGTGATACACATCCCACCGGTATGCCGTAGCAACCTGGACAGAATTCAATCACACACAAGCCGCAGCTGTAGCAGAAAGAGAGAGGGGGGTGGGGGTTGGACAATAATCAAAACAACAAACCAAAATAACAAATATAAACACAACGCTAGAGATAAGCAATACTGTAGTTTCTAGATAGAGACAGTAGAGAGTGGACAACATGGGAAAGTATGAAAGGAAACAAACCAAAAGAAAAGAAAAATAAATAAAAAGAGACAAGGTGTCCATCTTGGAAGGTTCAGCGGGCTATTCTCCTGGTCACATTCCCCCTTGAAGGCTGCGTTGGCCCGATCGGGGATAGTGGCTTGGAAAACAATGCCTGACTCAGGCTAGTGTAGTGTAACAGCTGGGCCAGTCTAGTCATCTGATATGCACACATAATCACACAGAAAAAACATACAAAACCAAATTAATAAACTCAGTAGCCATCCAGCACCAAGTCACGTGGACAAAAAGCATCAAGTTAGAGGTGATATCATTTTTGACTGTACACATGGGAACAACAGTGGCACCAAAGGGGAGGGAAATTTTAAAGAAACAGAGCACCAAAAATGAAAGAGAGAAAGGTGATTAAATTAGCTAGAGTTGCCATGGATTTATTTAGTAATTCCCATAAAACAAGTAACATTAATGGCAGTTTCTTATGGTAAATACACAAGCTAATTGTTCCAGAGAATCCAGTCTTTACAGTGAGGTTAACCTTATAAATACAGTGTCTTGCAGCTTTAAAAAAAAAACAAAAAAAAACACTCACCATAGCTCTAATGTTTTCTGTATAAAACCACCATGTGACACCAAAGACAAACCTTAGCTGGGCGCTATAGGAAATTAGCTAGCTAGGGATTTAGTGAGGTGATACAACCAGTTACCTGTGTCAAATAATAGTGCACAACTTGCCAATTTTCCATGTGAATAAAAGAAAAATAAAACCCAAGAATTCATCCAAAAAACAACAAAACGACTGAACTGAAGGGGAGCAGGCCATAGAAAGTCCACTGAGACAAGTCAGACATTTCATTTTTATGTGTTTGAACGAAACCGGCTGCACTCACCTTCTGCACATGGCACTACTATCAAAGCTCTGTCAATAAAAACAGTATTGGTGAGATGTTGCGCCACACCAACACTGGAGGGGTCTCGGTACTTAATATAGCACACTTTGGACGAGAAAGACAGAGGGGCATTGCTGTGAAAGAGAAAAACAAAGAGGAGAAAAATCGGGTTAGTTAGTTATTACACCCGCGACTGTTTAATTTTAATGTCTAGTGTGGATCCGCAGAAAGGCCGCAGATCCGCGGTGTTGCCTGGCTAGCCGTGCCGGAGAAAGTTGCGCTTACTCGGGCGGGTAGAGCCGCAGCTCCTCGATGTCTCCCAGGAAACCGAACAGAGTGCGCATCTGCTCGCTGCTCACGGCCGAGGACAGGTTGGTGACCTGGACGACAGCGGTCCCCGGTATCCCGCTCATTGTGAAACACTGATAAATACGTTGACAATAATTTAAGATTAGTATTCGTACAATATTTATTTCTCAGTCACCCAGCTCGGTGCTATTACACAGAGCATCCAGGCGGGCGAAGAGAAAGCTATCACTGGCTTCCTCGTATTTTTTTAACAGGGTTGGAGAATAAACGTTGAGTCGTACTACCGCCCCCTACAGTGTTGCTCAGTACATTACTACCCAGGGAGTATTTCCATTTTCTACTTTATACACCTGCTTCATCACATTTCAGAGGGAAACATTGTACTTTTACTGCCCAACATTTATTATGCAAGATATAAATGTTTACCAATATTTTTTTCATATAAGATTTTACACACAAAACAAATATAATAAGCATAAAATGCATTATTCAAAGATTAAAACAATGGTTCCCAGCCTCTTTTTTTTGGCTTTTGATCCATTATAGCCCAGGAGACATGTCACCTCTAAACTTCACAGCTTTATTTAAAAAAAATCTAAATAAATTAATAAAAAGTCCATAAGCTAAAAACAGATATGTGTATCTGAACTTTGTTTTCTCTTTCTCTCTCTCACCTCTCTCATTAATCATCTTACGATCCCACAGATTTATCTTGTGAGCCTCTGGACGGGCCCAATCCCTAGGTTGGGAATCACTGGACTAAACTAGCAAACTCCTTACATCATCCTTGGCCCCATCCTGTTCTGTATATGCTATATGCTGCCAATGGCACATAATTCATAGAACACATTATTGAATTCCATTGTTACAGTATATATGTATGTATAAGTATGTACAGTATGTTCTATTAAGACCAGTGGAAACTTTCATAATTTACTATCTTGTCTGTCTGAAGTAAAGTGCTGGATGGATAAAACTTTCTCCGGCTTAAAAATAAATAAATAAACATTATGTTTGTGGGACAGTGGAACTTGTGTGTTGTGGTATTGCCTCACGGTGTGTGTAGTCATAGTAAGTGTTGGCACTTTCCTCTCTGAGTTGCTGCAACAGGCCTGAACACCATCCAGAGGTGAAAGGTGTAGCAGAATGTTTATGGTTTCCCTGCCAGCACAGTCTCTCCCCCACCAAATCCCCTGCAGTGCCTCCCTGTGGCAACACCCAGTAACTGCGTGTTACAGGACCGCCTGCCAGGCTGAGCTGCAGGGTATGGCAGAGCAGCAGTGCAGTTAGGAGGACATTAACTGGTGACTGTGGCATTACTGGTGCTGCACTCTTAATATAAGAATATACATTTCATTTACTGTATCAGTGTAATACACACACTCTTCTTCTTGTATGTACCGTGTTATTTATTTACTCTTCTGGTCATTCCAGTTTTGTAATCATCCCTTCACCAAACCCAGAGAATAAAATAAATAATAATAAAAAAAAGAACCGTTGTTAAAGAGCATTAGTTTATTTTCCACAGGTTACTTCAGAAACAGGTAATTATGTACAAAATCTGGAATGTTGGATAAATGCATATCAATCATCTCACTGTGGCTGTTTCCAGAGAAACCTTAGAAATACTAGCTATACATTAAAACAGGTGCCTCTGCATTGCAATTTATTGCTGGTTTTACAATCGCAAGTCACTAATGCCATTGTTAACTCTTTTCTCAATTGTTTTTTTAAATTTTTTTTTAGAGTATTTACAATTTGATTAGTAAGGTCTAAAGTCCACAGAAGACTGCTAAATAAATAAGAATAAGGGAGCGTAAGAAACAGACCAACATGGATGAAGAAAATGTGACAACATGTTTTATCTCCCTAGATTGTCTACAATGTCAGACTGCACGTTTTTTGCCATGAATATAAAGTGACCATTACCCCAGAAATTTTTCCCCCCTACTCTTGGAAAGTCAACAGATATCACCAACAGAATTAAAACAAGTAATATAAAACAACAGTTCATCCGTGTCAAATATAACATGTGTGTGAAAACATTTGGGAAAAATGCTCATTACATTGTCATTTGAATAAAATTTTTACCAATTTTAGATTGAGTTTAAAAATTGAGGGTACAGCTTCACTTTCCAACAGCTAACTTTAAACAATACGACTAATGTCATTAAAAGGGATAAAAATTAAAATCCTATTATATATATTGTACAAACAATTCAGTGGTCGCAAATGTACTGCTGGAATTAATGGGGGTCATTACTTGATGTGTGAATTCTCTCATTTCCATTTGTTTTGGAAACACGTCTCACTGAAGAGTTATTTACCAGTGAATGAATATTAACAGGCTGATTTCATGCAACTGTAAAATTTGACGACACTGCCTTTAAAACACACATTTTCCCTCCGACACAGTTCTGAGATGCAGCTGTGACTGGATTAGTTTTTCCAACAGTGTAACTTGATTATTTTTGCACAAATGAACACCAGGAGTTGTGGTATTCGAAGCAACAGACAGTACAAAGCCTTGGGCAAAGTGACACAAACATTCACCTTTACACAATGCAGAGAAATCTTTTTTTTTTCTTTAGCACTACCGTACATATTTCCTGTGCCATTTCATTACAAAAAAAAAAAAAAAAAAAAAGATTTTTTTCACAATAAAAAAATCATGTAAAATCATCAGGGATTACTAAAAGGTTGTGTATCTTTTTTTTTTAAAAATGCTATCTGATGTTGCTTTTCTGAATGAAAATAAAGGCTTTAAATATTGCTTCTAAGCCATTATGCTGCAAATGTACTCAAAGGTTGTGAACGTGTGAATATTGCTTGGGTTCTGGGGTCAGGGGTCCTCCCCTATTCAAACAGTTCAAGGTCTATGGCACTTGACAACTTGCTTCTCCCAACTCTATTCTCTGTACAGCAAAGAAAACAAACAAAAAGACTGAGATGCTGCTCCAAAGTGATGAGTAAAAAGCATGAAAAAACATTTGTATAGACACAAAAGGCAAACTGTGGTCTTCTCCCATGTAAAAACTTAAAACTGCCAGATGCCGAAACCCCTTAAAACACAAACAAACACTCATCTCATCAGTGGCTGCCTGAGAGATGAAGCCCTTAAAAATAAAACACGTGAAAACGTTGACCTGTTCTTATTCGAATATCTTTCTTTAGTCGTCTCCTGCTTTTGCCTTCTGTCCACAACTTCCAAACTTGCTTTGGTTAACTAGCACAACTCACACCTTTCTCCGCTTATAGGAACAGTTTTACATTTTAGGAAATGTGCATAATCGCTTGTTGGCATAGCTTATTTTCTTAATTACTGGATTTTAGAGATACTAGCATACCGACTGTGTTACCTTTTGACAGAGCTAAGCTAGCTGCCCCCCCCACACCCATAGTTTCCTGTCTATGTGATAACTTTTAAGTTAACCGGCTGCTACCTGTAGTTTCAATCTTCTAATGATCTGCCTTGAAGTGAATAAGTGCATTTCCCAAAAATGTCGAACTATTCCTTTAAACAAAAGCTTCTGACTGGCAAAGCAGATTAAGGCTGAGCAAATACACTTCTCTACTCTCATGTTCCCCAAATATCTGAATTTCCATTCCATTTTCCAGTCTCACTAAATGATCACATGCAGAGTGCATTTCTTCAACATCTGAAAGCTGTGATTCATTTAAACTGCGAAGGATTTTTTTTTCCCCCACACAGCACAGGTAGTGGTCAGGCCAGGTGATATGCTGAGCAGGTGAGTTGCTGTGAGGATATCTGGGATGGACTGAGGACAGGTGTCTGTACGCTGGAGGGTCTTCACAGGTTTATGGAAGCAGAGGGTGGATGATGTCCTCTTCTCAACCTCTTTGATCTTGCAAGAAGAGAGAGAGAGAGAAAAAAATCTCTCCAAAAAACAAAAAACAAAATCAAAAAAAACCACCTTGATCTACATTCGTCTCCACATGAAAAGCACATAACACTGTCCTCCACATAAGATCGCTCGTTTCAACATCTTAAATTAAAAAAAAAGAAAAAAACAAAAGAAAAGAAAGAAAGGCAGAGTGGATGACAGAAGAGAGGGAGCCCTGCCCCCCTAGTGGTCAATTCATGTCTATCCGCAGAAATAAATCCCAATTTATGACAAAGGATTTATGAGTTTTGGACTAAAAAAAAAAGAAAGAAAAAAAAAGAAAAGATGATCTGTACAGAGACCACAGTAATTATTTGCATCAGAGCAGGTCATATCTTCAGCTTCTTTTGTATAAAAATATACTGTATATACCACAGTGATGGCCTTTTGAGGACTCGTACTTGCAGATGTTCATTGCTGTCTCACTTTGATCCACTACATTCAGTGGTTTTCCCCGTTTAATCAAGGCTCCCAAGATCTCTAGTATAAATAGTCCCAACAGGTATCAACAGATCAGCCTCTTCTGTGTATAAAAATATGAGAGTCAACATAAATGTCTCTCTTCTTCTTCTTCTTTCCTCTCATAGCACCCCCACCCCACCCCTTCGGAGGTCAGTTTCAGTTGAGTCTATGCTTGCATTTCTCTTACGATAATCAAATCCACAGTGTTTGGAAATGTCTTGAGGAGGGACACTGCATTCCCATGATCGATATTCACAAAGCTGTATCCATTTGCCTGTGGGAGAAGAAAAAAAAAAGAAAAAAGAAAAGAGGGTTGATGAAAACGTCCCGGCAGATTTTTAACTTTGTGGAAAGAGCTTTGTGATATTTGTGATATTGTGAATACCTGGATAATTTTATCTCCAGGCTGAAGAATCTTGGATGCCGGTCCCTCAGGCTGGACCCTTGTCACAAATATACCCTGAAATGATGGAAAATATTTAAATCATCAGCTGCAGTCAAACAACTCTTAAATCTGTGGTAAATGAACAAACAGGAAATGAGGATTTCTTTAAAAATCAAACAGATATTGATGGAACTCAGCGCAGCTCGCTAAGAAATATAAATCACTGGTGTGAATTTACATTGTCATCTGGACGAAATGGGTTTCCTCGACCTCCCACTCCTCCTGATATACTGAAACCCAGCTCTGGATTCTTCTCCACTTTCACACGCATCTGAAACACACCCACATACTTTCATGAGACGTTTATTCACAGTCGTTCATTGTTAATTACACAATTCTCCTGTATTAGACTGAAAAACCACAGCAAGAAATTACTTCTTTAGCTGGCTTCGAAGATAATGTGTATATGAAACTAAATGACTCAAAAGGATATTCAGATTCTTACGGCCTAACTTACTCAAATTCACTTTTCAGCATCTAAGATAAGATAAGATAAGATAAGATATTCCTTCATTAGTCCCACAGTGGGGACATTTGCAGCGTCACAGCAGCAAAGTGGACAGTGCAAAGAAAGGAAAACTAATTGCAAAATGTGAAGAACCAAATACTTAAAAAAGATAAATAATATAATAAAATAAAAGATAATATGTATAATCAAATACTATATGTATGAAATATAAAAAGTAGCAGCAGATAACTCGCATGTATCTCAGTGTTTCCACAAGTAATTTCATACAAACCTCTTGCTGCATCGAGTCGTGCGGGATGCGTGGGGGCCCTTGGGGCTGCTGGGAGACTTTGAGCATCAGGTAATCAATGAGCTGCTCTCTGGAAGGGTGGCGGGCCATGGGCGCCTGGCTCATCTGAGGACGACCGGAAGAGCCCATCTGACCGTTCATCAAAGGCACCTGGGAAAACAAAAGCACACAGCGATGAAGGAGCGTGTTTCTGCAGGATTTTCTGGCAACCTGCAGATCCGAGAGTCATTTCACAATCAGCGAGTTCTTGAATTTCACAATCTCTTTTTGTCTTTTTGCTCGGCAGCCAAACATCTGCCCCTACATGTACAAGACCTACTTTTCTGTGGGGGTCCAGGGTGTAGCTCTGCTGCCCTTGGGGACTGTACACATCATCCTGAAATAGAGGAAATTGATGATTAATACAAAAACAATACACCCAAACCTCGCTCCACTAAAACCTATTTACAACAAAGGATAACAGACATGGCACGCAATTAGAGAGTGACATTAACATTTTTCATGTTGGGTAATGACATTAGGCAGTGAGGTGTAGATTTAGAAGAGAGGAATCTGATTAAAATGATGAAAAGCTGAGATTAAACTGTGCTTAGCCTCTATTCAGACACTAAGCAGCATGTAATTGTGAGTATTAGCCTGCTGGAGATAAAGTGAATCATAAATGTCAAGTGGGGAAGAGGTTACACAACACACTCAGACATCTATCTTCTTTTTAAACCCTCCTCTACAGTTTCTAAAAACCACTTTCTAAAAAATCACTTAGATGCAGATTTCTACCACTTACCTTCCTCAAACACAGTTTTCATCCCCACACACAAAGTGAGAGGTGATTCTGAAGTGATTGAAAGTTGGAGTGAAGATGATGAAGGAGCAAAGTGAGGATTTGAAGCACAGTTAAAAAGGAGAAGAAAATCACGGTTGCTGAGATTCATTACAATCACAGGATGATTGGAGTGCAGCAGGGTGGAGGGAGAACGCACACGAATAATGGCTATGATGTTAAAGAAGCTGGCAGGTTTAAAAGGGGGCGTTTTGTACCATATATAACACTCATATTACATATCCGGTTATCAACTTAAGAGCAAAACAAGGTAGGGTTTCCTTAGAGAGAAACTGAGCCTAATGAAAAAGAGCTTAATTTATGCGAACAGGCTTGTCACATCACAGCTTAGGGTGACACTTTCTGTTGTCAGCGGGATTCAGAGGAAACACAGACTTGCTGTGAATGTGTCACTGGAAATCCAAGCCTCTGACTGAACAGACAAACCCATTTTTTTTTTCCATAGAATGAGCCGTAGATAAAATTAGGTGTGCTACACACAGCTTGTAAATTTTGTGAGGAAGTAGTTTCACTTAGCTGCAGATCTGCTGCAGTCTCTCATTTGTCTCTGATTCTGCAGTGAAGCCACTCAACAAACTGGATGATGGTACAAAAAACAAGTGGTCCCCTTTTAAACAAGTCTATTTGGCTTAAACAAGAACGAGCTACACAAGCACCCTGTTAGAATACATCTATTTTCTACTCTGAGGAAACATCACATGTGCTAGGAAGGGGGTTTGTGGTCGTGACAAATAATGTATACTTTCATTTGTCTATAAAAGGACAAGTGAAAGATGACTGAGGGTCAGTGATCACTTCCCAACGTCAAGGAGAGAAGGAAACAGACATTCCCTTTTCTTCTAAAGGATGTGAAACTAGCATGATCTGGGCGCACCGGCTTAGTATGAGCTGCAGGAGCTAACTACCAAGTTCACAGTACTCACACAGAAGCCCAGAGCTCCGTAGGGCTGTCCCTCTCTGGCATTAAAGACCAGAGACCCTCGGCTGGCATGCATATCCCTACAGCTGCCGTAGTGAGACCAGCTCAGCGGAGCGGTATTGGAATTATAGGAGCGAGACAGTGCGTTCTGAACAGAGCGGACGACACGGAACAACCAGCACCAACCGACATGTCAGCGGTGGCCATGCAATCCACCAAATGAGAACGACATAAAAAGACACAACAGAAAGGTTTACACAGCATAAACAGACAAAACATGCAGAGAATCAGAAGCATCTTGCACACAGATGGGTTAGTAGGCAACGTCACGTAAAGGGTCAGTTCTGTAATGGTGTTTATCCATACAGGTAGCTTTGGTTTTGAGATGTCCCTAAACAATAAGAGGTGAATTAAATTTCATTTGTGGTGCTCAAAACACTGAAACATTACATTTAACAAATTTCAGGAACATCTCTTTCCTGAAAAACATCTATAATTCACCCAACACTATCAACAGCACGGAATATTTCTTCAGTAGAAAGTCGTTCCAGTAACAAAAATGTTGATATTATTCACATTAACCGAGTCGTTGTTTCTGCTGCTGAATCTTTACCTGTAACTGTTCAGTGCCGTGAGTCTTATTGTTTCAGGCTGGCGGCACAAATGTCAGAGAAAGATTTTTTTTTTTTTTTTTTAAACCAGGACAAATAAAACAAAAGCTCTCTGCAAAGCTATGAAGATCTGAGATGGTGTGTTTTTTTTTTACTATTTGTGTAGGTGAAACAATCCTTTAAAAAGGGACTAAAGAAAAGGCTTTTTATATATTTTAATCTTATTCACATAATGTTGTGATGGTCTTTGGCACTAATGAAGTAATTTTAGCAACATTGCGTGTGAGGAGGAGCATGTTTATACTGTTGGTTCCCTCAGAGTGATCTGGTCATGGGTTATCCACCACAAAAACACTGACAGTTCATTGTTCTGGAAGCTGGCAGTTTTATCTTAGTACTTTTATACCTTCTCCATTTTCTTGGCCTCGATGTGCCGCATCACCTGGTCTCTCCAGTCTGCTGGCACCCTTCCTCCTCCCACCCCTCCTGACACCTGTCCAGGGCCGTCCAGGAGCGAGTGCTCGGACTTCACCCTGGTGTTGGGCCTCTTGCTGGGGCTGCCGTGCTGGTAATTGAAATCGCAGACAGACATGGTCCTCTCTGGAAGCTCGTGGGGTTGCGGCCTGGCGCCGAGAGGCCTGGAAGCTCCGGGTACATCGATGCTGTATGTGCGAGCTGACAGGGGTCTCTGCATGGCCTGGCTCATCGCCAGCGGCCCCCTGGCGAGGGTGTGAATGTCCCTGTATGTCATGTATTCCCCCTCTGGCACCTGCATGCGCCTGGGGTCACCCATGGAAGCCGTGGACGTGGTGCTGCTTTGCCTCTGCAGAGTGCTGCTTCTCGGCTGGCTGCCAGAAGAATGAAGTCTCTCCTTAGCCCACATGTCGCCACTGGGTTTGGGAGCCATGGAAGGCCCCCTTTGCTGCGGCTGTAGAGGGTACGGCGGCGCCTGATTACGATTGGAGTAGTTGGTGTTGGCTAGTGAGTGTGGAGGAGGAGGAGGAGGGAGGTAGCCTTGGTGCTCCGGGGGCATGGGCGTTCTCTGGGACCAGAGGCCGTCTTTTGGCATGGCACTGCTTGTGTACTGTATGTTGTACTGAGGAGGAGGGATGCCCATGGCCATGCTGGAGGAGGCTGGATATCTGCTGGTGCTGGCAGGAGGCTTAGAGGAGGAGAGCAGGTCTGAGGAAGATGCAGAAGAGCTGGGGTAGACCTGGAGAGTCTGCTCGTTGAGTAGCTGACTGGCTGACTTGCTCCTGACTATGCTCTGGCCCTGAGCTCCTGGGCCCGGACCGGCTCCTGCCATCCTCGTCATTGCTGCCGTATCATAGGAGTCATCGTCCCCTTCAAAGGAGTACAGCCTCATGCCCCCTGTTTCTATGTTGCTGACGCTGTGAGACTTCATCACCTGTGGGGGATGGCACCTTTTATCTGGAGACAGTTCCTCTGTGCTGCGAGACAGAGACATGTCACTGCTGGCTGTCACGCCTGTCGAGGCCACATGCACAGCAGATGTCTCCACTCTCATGGCTTGACTTTTGTTCCCCAGACTATTGATGCAGTCACTGACCTGCTGGTTTCCATTCTGTAAATGCTCCAGGTTGTCATTGCTAAAACCCTGCTTGCTGTCTAAGTCATCCCGGGCCACTGAACCATTCTTGGTTTTGCCCAGCTCATCCAGCTGAACCATGTTGTCGGTCGGCAGCTTGGACACGTTCATATTGATCTGGTCCCACTTGGTGTAGGCGTTTTCCATGCCGTTGTTAATTCCCTTCTCAATGAAGGCCAATCTGGCTTCCATGGACAGGTCGTAGTCGCCCAGTTTTTCTGGCGGGGTCTGCTGGGTTTTCAAAAGGGCTTGAAGAGACGTTTCAGAGCCGTTACCATTATGGAGGAGAGGGGTGGTGTCTTTAGGCTGGTTCATATTCTCATCTTCTTGCCTAAAACGTAGGAAAAAAATAAGAACTTGTAGTACGCAGCAGGAGAAGAGTCTTCTTTATTACTCCGTGTTCAACATGTTGAAGAATGATACCTACCGGCTCTTTGGGAGGAAGGGCATTTTTGCCTCTCTCTCGGGGGTGCACAGAGAGTTGTCCTGACTGCTGTCAGTGGTCAGAGACACTGAGTCGGACATGCGGGACGGTGATGAACAGTTACTGTTGTTCTGGTTGCTGTTGGCCACTGTGTCATCCAGCAGAGAGTCTGCGTCTTTCCCATCGTCTGTCCATGAGAAATATCAGTGAGTGTACGGTATCTCGACAATATCACTTGTCCACTTCAAATACTACATGTCGAGGACTCAAACAAAATCTTTACCTTTTTTGTCCTTACTTAAAGTCACTACTTTAGGCTGGTTGATGGAGATCTCAATAAGAGGCGGTCTCATCTCTGCAATTTTCATCTCCTCCTCTTCATCCGACAGCTCCTCGGAATCCTGAAGAAAAACAATCGTTTTCTTAAAGCTGCATTTTTCAGATAAAGCTTCATTACGTTCTTGCTTTACTTTATATTGTGAGAACTCCTAATAATTTTGAGGGCTAAATATTTGCGTACCTCCAGTGTGTCCTCATGGTTCATCATGGAGCCCTCTGAGGATTTGAGTGGGACTCTTTGGGAGCTGTAAGACGTGTCTGAGGTGTCTTTTGATTCCAGTGCAGAGGGATTGTGGGCGGATACTTGGCGCTCCTTGTCTGACGGCATACCGTTGGGGCAAGGCGCCTCTATCACCTGCGCAACCACAGTCCAGGAGGTCATGATTTTGTATTAAAAAATATTCCTTCACTTGGATGTAGCAAATGTGTTTTATTAAAAAGGAATTGAAGTGAGGTGAATAAAAACACCCACGTCCTTACCTTAACACCCACGTCCTGCACTCCAATATGGTTCCTCTCGATCGGTTTTGGATCTTTCCCCGACTCGTCACTTGACTCATCCTCCTTCAGCCTGTGAGCCACAGACTGGGCGGTCTTCACCATGTTCTTCAGCTCGTCTGGGTACGGTGTGGGGTAGCGCTTCAGGTTTCCCTCCTGGAGGAATACAAGCAGACTTCAAATCAAAAATAATGTGACGACACTGGGAGAGGTGAAATGTTAGTTTGAAGAGATGATTTTCCCCACTCGGTCTGGACAACCAGTGAGTGTTCAATGGGAGCTACGTGGAAAGCGATGTGCATGACGTGCATTCAATATCACACAGACACATTTCCCCGAGATAAACTGGCACTAAGGATGAATGTTTTAGGAAACTTTTAGTTTTATGCTTAGAGCCATCTGTCAAATACGGCGAGTAAAGATCTCCTATGACCTCCAACAATGTTTTACTACAAAAAAAAGTTGCAGAAAATGGGACATGAGGGACCTTTTATGTGAAAACAGCTACAACAAAGTGAAGGTTGTTGCCTAACTCTGCTTTAATGGCCCTTGCAGCTGTGGTAAATCATGTCACCACAGTCATTTTCCTTTCCCAATTATGTGAACAGTGACAAATGTGGGACACTAACCCTTGGGGGTGTTTCTCTCTCATCCTTGTCCTCGTCGCACTCAAAGGCCACCTGAGCTCGGTGCTTGCGTTGTTCCTCCCAGAGAGTCGGATTGAAGCTCTCAGAGTCAGAGTTGGGAATGTCTGTGTAAAAAAAGAAGAAGAAGAAGAAGAAAGAAGCAGAAATCAGGATGAGAATAATTTCTTAGCTTTTAATTAAGGCTTTGTAAGTCATCCCCACTGAGTTCAGTTCATGCAAATCTGACTTTGACCACAAGGTGGTGCAAAGACAACATGACTGCCTGCCAATAAATAGAAAGTTGTGTGTGAGGAACTTGAAATACTGAAGTCAACCCCTTTGAGCTCTTGGAAGTGTTGTTCTCATAAACTGCTTTCAAATGAAAGAGTATTTAAAAAAAAAAAAAAAAAAGGAACTTTATTTTGAAATCCAGCTAAATTATAAAATGCAAAAGGGCAAATTTATTGCAAAAACATAAAAAGTACAGTACTTGCGCAACAAATTTACTTGGCTCGATCTCTTGCCTTCGCTATCACTCCTGTGTGACTTTAATGTGTTGGTAAGGAAGAAGCGAGAATGCTGTGAAAATGACGTCACGATGGTTGTGGTTCTAATATTGCCGCTTTCCTGAGACTCTGCAATAGCATCTTGCATTGCTGCTCTGCTCTCTCTGTTGTGTCTGTCATGTCTGTGGCAATGGGTGCAACCAATTTGAAACTTGACCAAGAGCATCATTGCAAATACATGCCCTTCTGTTTTTTTGGAAGTTGATGTCATTTTCTCAGGTTTGCACACACACGTTTGTACACTGTAATTAAAAGCTAGTCAAGATCTAGAGTGCAAATCAGTCAGTGTGGTTTCCTGTGTTAAAATGCTCTTTATCTCTGTATGTAGATATTTAAAGGACCAGTGTCTAAGATTAAGGGGGATCTATTGGTAGAATAATATTTATACTTATGTTTTCATTAGTGTAAATCACTAGAATCTAGAACTAGATACCACTACATCCTACAGACAGAGAGTCTCACCATCATGCAACTAAATTCTGATAAGGTGATCTCACTTTTAGATTTCTAATTTCTAATTCTAAGCCGACATCAGCTAAACTTAGATCATATCAAGAAGTGGTTGTCTACAACTTTAACACCGCACACCAGATTGTGAATGTGCAGTGGATAATATGAGTCACCTGGTGTGTACTCTCCATATCAACGAGTAGTAAAACATAATAATGGCAGTCAGGTCATGACTTATTCCAGCTTCTCAGGAAAAGGACAAGGAAACAGATAAAGCCCTTTTGGAAAAATTCCCACTAAGTAACTATGGAAAATGGTACAAAGCAGATGACTGGCAGAGAGCAAATAGAGGTGAGAACTACAGCCACCTTTGTGGTGGTGCAACATTATCTTAAAAATCAAGCAGCTGACTCTCAACCATCTCAGCAGTTCAAGCATGCAGATCTTGAACCGCTAATTACTCTGAAGCTGAGCTGCATCAGGGTCAGTGCAAGCTGTCTGGTGCAACAGGAAACCAAACCAAAATAACAGCTGCTTGACAAGCGAAGGAGACTAGTGTTTCTTCTGCAGCCTTGGTCTCAGGTAACGAGGACCCTCATCAAATATGGATTCAGGGATCCCTGCAGGTCACCTGTAGGACTGCTATGATGCAGATGGTAGCTGTAGTCATGGTGAGGCCTGAGAATCTGACATCAAAATTCAAATTCATTTATTTTACCTAAAAATTTGATCTTAGTGACTTATTTTATTCAACTTTTTTATTTTCAAACTGGATATGTACCGTCAACTTCCCCAACCTTGGTTTTATCTTATAAATTGTGCTCATATGAGTCATACAAGTAAAGTTCTGTGAGTTAAATGACTGCTTGGTAGCACTGATTAATTAACGAGCCCCAGTCTTTAATACCCAGCTTTACTGCTAAGAACTGATTAATGAAAACAGGTCAGAAACATTTGCAGTTTGAGCGTCTGTCAGATGAATCATGGGAGAATATAAAAGAGAAATTAAGTCTTGTTGAGTGCACAGTACTCACAGTCCTCAGTCCTGGTTTGCTGCGGGAACATGTAGTTAGTCAGCACGGTTTTGTGCGTCTCTGGATCCTCCTCTTTCTGGAGAGGGATCAGCGGCTTTGACTGCGGGAGACAAAAAGTAGGTTTGCATGTGCTAACTGCAATCAGCAGGACTTTCACTTTCACGACCCTCAGTGCACAAAGAGTGTCCCGGTGTTCTCTCTGTGCCTCGCTCCTGCGTGGCAAGTAAACTGGTCGACATCACGCAAAAGACGATGGAGGGAAAAACACATCCCAAGATGCACCGAATGATGTTTCCTCCAAACTCTCCACAGTTATTCAGAACGGAGTTTCTTTCCTTCTAATCTGCTTCGACTGGGACGTTACTTAAGTACATCAGGACGCCTCTTCCCATCATCCATTCCTTGTTGAAGCCCCATCAGTGTTCCCTAGGCCCCGTCACAAATGTGGCACCTGCTCCTTGTGTCTCAGTGCATGTTGCCTCTTTTGGGTTTAATTTCTGCCCTGCTGACACGACATGTGCTGGGCTCCTGACACCCAGTAAGTAAAGCTAAATTATATAGCACCTTTATGGTGTCGCAAAGTTTTTAACAAGTCTGTAAAATTGAAGGAAATGACCATCCTCACACACTATAATGCCCCAAAAACCTCTGTAAAAGAACTGTTTGTACAAATAAGATTTCAGACAAAATTAAAAACAGCCACCTTGATAGATCTCATGTTTATATGAAAGCTGATTCACGAGCCTGGAGACAAAAGCACGGCCGTAAAGCCCTGGTTATATGACCCTAGAGCCCTGCCTGCGCAGCATCCTGTTAAGAATTCAGAAAGACTGACTGTGGAGAGCCTCGTAAGTGATAAGAAAAATTTTATTCAGTATTCAAGAGGCAGCTGACCTGAGGCCAGGACAGGGGAGATGTGGGCTCCACAGCTGATCTGAACAGCAGTTTTTCTGCAGCAGTCTCATAGAGCTGCAGTTTTTCTGTGACAATTTGTTTAGACATTCGAACAGAGACCTACAATAGTCCAGCCAGGATGAGAAAAAGGCATGAATAATTGATTTGTATAATGCAGTAAGAATCAACAGACTGTAATTTAGAAATATTTATAAGCTGGGAAACACAAACACACTGCAGCAATGCAGTCTTCTCCAACCTCACTTTTCCTTTGCACACATAAAAACCGCTCTGCTAAGCTTGTTATAAGTAGTTCCACAATTCCTTTCCCACGCAAAGCTACACTGCTTTAACAAAGTAGGACTCCAACACACTTCCTCACACACGAGCTGACCACACTCAGACATTTCCACTTCAGTTAGTCTTATCTTGTGTCCGGTCGAGGGCCACATTGGCCGAGGCAGAAGTCCAAATTTCAAGTACCCTGATCTCTCATTTAAGTCCGCCTTACTTCCGACTAGCTGCTGCTGCCTTATCTCATAAACAGACCTCGTCATTCAGGTTCGTGTCATACCACTTTGACAGGCTTGACAGGCTCATCTACATCACCATACTGTAAGCCCTTAAACATTTACTACGGTCATGACATTCATTAGGATCCTCCCACACTTTGAAGATGTAGAGTTTAGGGTTTCACCATCCGACCTGCGATGCCATTTGGCACGTTTCGATCAAATGTCCTCCTGGAAGTGGTTTGCTGCATTTTTAATGTGTTTTCCTGTGAGCTACTTGACTTAGGTAGATTAATTTATACCTTAATACAGTGGCCAGTCACGTAAACCCGCTAAAATTACAGTCTCTATAGCACGGACCGTTGTCTCACAGCTCTGAACCCAGTAGCACCTTTTGTGTTTTATTCATAATACATGTGATCTTACCTGATTTTCAGACAGCCACATTGCAGTCATCTGGTTCAGTTTAGTGAAACTGTAAGGAAGATTCTTCAACCTGCAGTGGAACAGAAACACAGGTACTCAGCAAACTAAAAGAGTCACAAACCCAAAGCACGTTCTATATCATTCCGTGTTATGTGTCTTATCTTAGTCTATATAAAATTCCTTGTGTGAGCAAAATTTAATCTACGAGGGCCCACTATAAAGCTAGTCTGCAGCTATATTTCATTTTTACTTATAAAAAAAAAAAAAACCCAAAAAAACAAAAAACAGTCAGTGCTGTGGGGAGGTGGCCAAAGTTATTCAGTGTACTTGGCACAGAGCAGACAGGAGGAATGGAAAACCCCTGATTAAAACCTCAATCAGGCTTTAGTTTCCAAACCCATTTTCAATCTGGCCAGAATTAAGATCCTTCGCTCATGACGTTGTAATTAGTAAGTTATATTTCAGAGTATGTGTATATGTGTGTGTGTGTGTGTGTGTGTGTGTGTGTGTGTGTGTGTGTGTGTGTGTGTGTGTGTGTGTTCTTGCAAGAATGAAACTAAGACATTCATTTGTTTTCACCAATGTACAAAGTTCAAAATGAAGTCTAAGGAATACCCTTCAAAAACTGCAGAGAAAAGAACTGCAAGAACAGAATATTTTTTATTTTGTGATTAAATCAGCTGATCATCCAACACCACACGGTGACATCTTTAAATGTCTTGTTCTGTCTGACCAATGGAACAATCTCAAACTGATTCAAATTATAAGGATATAAAACGGAGAAAAACCTGAGAATGTGCAGCCGGAGAACAATTTGAATTTTTTGCTCAGAAAATGAAAATGATTTTTAGAATAGTAAAATAATCCAAAATAAATATATTAAAAAAAAAATCAGCATTTTGTCCCTGCACTTGACCCTCATTATGCATGCACACTGTCAGTCCAGACTCACTTGTTGTTGCTAAGATTGATGACCTTGAGCTTCTGCATGTCACCCATTTCCTCGGGCAAAGACTCCAGCTTGTTGGAATGTAGAAACAGCACAGTTGCATTCTTCCAGTTGCCCATCTGTGAGGGGAGGAAACCGAGAAAACCAGGCTGACATGCTGCACCACTCAACACACACACACACACACACACACACACACATCCACAAATATACTTTAGTGTGCATACTCTACCTCAGGTGGAAGCTGGGTGAGGAAGTTGTGATCTGCAGCAAAGGTGCGCATGCAGACACACTGGCCGACGGAGGAAGGCAAGGCTTCAATCTCATTGAAACTGCAGTCCAGCTCCTCCAGAGATGTCAGCCTGAGACAACAGGAAGTCAGAGGAGAAAGACAGGAGGACTTTAACCATGTGGTGCAAGTGCTGGATACACTGTTCATATACTGTTCATGTCTACCTGGTGAGATATCTGTAATGGTCAGAGCAACTTCAGCTCATTCACAATGCTACTGATAGAGTCCTGACAAAGATCAAGAAAACTGAACACAACACACCAGGCCTCAGGTCTCTTCACTGGTGTCTAGTGTTTCAGAGAACGGAGTTTATTGAATATAGAGTCTATAAATCTTTCAGTGGCTTAGGAGCAAAATACATCACTGACTGTCTGGGCCTCTTGGCTTCTCAGGTCATCAGGCAGAGGCTGCAACTGTTCCCAGAGTGTAAACTAAACATGGAGAAGCAGCACTCTCAGAGCTGGAACAAACTTCCAGAGGATAACAGACTTGCACCAACTTTGACCACCTTTGAATCTGGGTTAAAGACTTTCATATTCTGCACTACCTTTAACAGAACCTTAAACACTCATCAGGAGCATCTTTATCTTTCCTGTATTTATGACACTCTTTAATTTCCTCTAAAATTATGAATTTGAATGTTTTTATGCTTTTCTTTTACATTTTTTAAAAAGGACTTTGAATTGCTTTTGTGTATGAAATGTTCCAAACAAAGAAACTTGCCCTGACATAAACACTATATCACAGATATGGGATGCCAACATGGTAAAATAAGATCTCCTAGTCCGTCAAACAAGGTGGCATCACAGGGGCATCATGAGATTGTGAAATGTTTCTTTATTTCTCTACAAAAAAGATGGGCAACACTTCAATATAACCGTTTCCTACACAGGCAAATATACTATAAACCAACTACACAAAACCTCCCAATACACTGACAAGAAGGGGTTAAGTTCGTGTTCAAACAAGAACTCAGATCAACTTTGGTTCAGACCAGCTAGCGTGACAACATCTTAGAGTATCAGTGAAATGCTTAAAGACATTTACACCAAAGCGGATGCGTCTTAAAAGCTTCATGGACGTCATTTAAAAACAGTAAGGTTTTTAAACAGAGCTCGTGGTGACCGAGAAGTGCAGTGCAGCTGGGGCTTTCTGCTGAATGAAAAATGCAAATGCACTCTGGGGATTCAGATGAATGCGAAGGGAGCCTGACCTGCGGGAGAGCTATTGTGTTATAGCACCATCAAACTCCAAAACACCGGATTTGACCCCGTACCTGCCGTAGGGGGTATACAGACCACGGACGAGCAACACAGTGCAGCAACACTGTGCTGAATAAAATCAGCTGTGTATAAATGAAAAAAAAAAAAAAAATCAGCTTGCTTAAGCTAAAATCCTTGCATGGGATTAAGCTAAACCATAGGCTTTGTCACATAATCTGTGTCAAAGTACACAAGGAGACACACTCTAACATAAGGGATAATTGACGGTGTTTGGAAACAATGAATGAGAAACAAAACTGCACAGCTGTAATAGTAACTGTCAGTTGATGCAGATTCGTTTCTGTCATTTCTGTGGAAGTGGACTGATTTAAAAAAACAAAACAAAACAAAACAAAACAAAAAAAAAATATATATATAGATGGATTAAATTGAAGTCTAATCTTTGTGCTAGACCACAATGATTCAGAGTAGATGGAGGGTCAACATGTCGACCTGCCTCGCCCACTATAGCCTCAGCAGCTGTTGACTGCGGGGTTTACCTGTCTGCTGCACACAGCATCAGTCTGAGAACACCCACAGCTGATTGAATCTGTCAGTATTGCATCGGCGGGTCATCAGGGCAAAGATTACCCAATAACGCAAACCTCAAACTGTTTCCATAAATCAATGTGACAGACTAAGAACCGTGACTTTTCATTATTGTCATTCAGACTTCGCAATCATGGCCGTTATTGGTAATTCAATATCATCAGCATTGGACCAAAACAAATAAACCATCGGAACGCATTATGTTGAATGGGAAATATCTGACAGACGTTTCATGCGATAAGTGGACGGCAGATGAAAATAATCCACTGATCTCAGTCGTTATTCTGCTGATATTAAAGCGACTGCCGTAACGCTCACCCTCCAACAGAGTCTGGCAAGTACATCAGCTGGTTCTCATCCACCTTCAGCGCGGTCAGCTTCTTCAGTGAGCCTAAAGAAAGAGTTAGAGAGAGAGAGAGAGGAACACAGGGAATTAGAGAGATGCATGCAGCAGCTCAGGGCAGTCATTGATTATCACTTGCTGTTGCACCACAAAGAGGAATATCAATTACAGCTGTTAATTGGATTAATTCATGCTATCGTCAATACAGTTATCAGTTCTGTAGTAATCCACCCTGACTTCTACAGCGCTGTCCACCTGGACTCCTCTGATTTTATCACAAGATTTTATTCATCTGGTTTTAACTCATGAACATCACCATTCTCCCAAAAGATGAAATTACAAATATCCATATTATCAGTTTGGTTAGTCCATAGTTTATATGTAAATCTGATCCAAGTTTCCTCTCACTCTCAAGTTCCATTGATCAGTGAGGCCAAAAGGAACTAATAAAAACTCCCCAGTATCTGAGAAGTAAGAAATTAAAATCAGAAAGAAGCAGTAATGAGATGTAGCTGCATTTTCATTTGTTCTGTGGCATAATTTTGAGAATCCTTTGGTTAAAATTAAGCATCTCGTGGCACGACTGAGACTATATTATAACTTGAGAAAAATGGTAATTGTATCCTCTTCTGTGATGATTTCTGTCAGTGTGACTGTAGAAAGTTGGTGGAGAGTTATGAAAATGCATTTGAGCTACACAGGAAAAACATTGTCAAGTCATCTGTGGGAATTAGATCATTATAATACGCAGGAATGAAAAACGTGTGTGTGTGTGTGTGTGTGTGTGTGTGTGTGTGTGTGTGTGTGCTGTAGTCTTCACCGATGGAGCCGGGCAGCTGTGTGAGGGCATTGTTGGAGAGCAGGAGGTCCTGCAGACTCTCACAGCCGCAGATCTGCTCGTCCACCATCTCCAGGTTGTTCTTGGACACGTCCAGGTAAACCAGCTGTTTTAGCATCCCAAGCATCTGGATCAATCAAACGAAACACACACAGAATTATCACTGATATCTCAGTATTCATTTATGCTGATGATTACACAGTAGTATTGGTTGGAAACAATATGTAAAATCGTCCTCGGCTGTGAGGTAAAGAAACTTCCTCTCAGGTAGGAGAATCACAGACGTGATGTTAAGCTTAAGTTGTGTTTTCCATTTTTTTTGTTTAATGGAAAATTATATAAAAAGGAAAACAGTGGCTGTGTTCAGTTTTTGCTTTATATGCTTCACGGACGCCGTCACTTATTAAAGGCCAGACTGTGATTACAGCTGATGCTATTCAAAGGCTGGCAGCAGAACTAATGCTTTAATTATGACCCACTTACAAACAAGCCGGTCATTTGGATGAAAAATGAATCTCATGTAACACATTCAGACTATCAAAGCATCATTATAAATTAATTATGTTCAAAGAAAGTAATAACTTAACAGCTGCAGATATTTTTGTAAAGCAGTCCTGGGGCATCTGCAAATCCAAAAGTCTGCTTTTTTTTTTTCCTCTGTAAAAATGTCTAATTGTGCTCATCCAGCAGGAGAATCACTAAACTGCAGCTCCTCCACCGCTGTTTTTTTCAGCGAGCTGAAGGTATGATGTAAAGTGACTGTGGTTTGTTTTGATGAAGATTTAAGCAGACACTTTAGTTTGAAAATCACAGGAAATAATCTCAGGATTATTTTCAAGGGGGGAGAGTAAGCAGTGAAAGTATGCGAGCATGGAGCATGACTGTAAATTATACCCCAGGTAAAAACGTCAGTCTGTTCCCGTCCATCCACAGCTCCTTGATTCCAGTCAGCTGCTCCAGCACCTCAGGCTTCACATGTGAAGAGGAGAAAGGAGGTTAAGTGATTGGGACGTGTGTCTGAGTGTTTAAGGGTGTGTTTGTGTGTGTGTGTGTGTGTGTGTGTGTGTGTGTGTGTGTGTGTGTGTGTGTGTGTGCGTGTGTGTGTGTGTGTGAGTGAGAGAGGGCCTGCTGGGTAGAGACAACACCTTAACTCATAAACAAGATAAAAAATTAACCGTGAGGCAATTTATTTTTTTCCACTTTAATTATTGTGCAATAACAACGTTATCTCGCAGAGAAATTAGAATGAGCACTTATTGTTTGTGCACCTAAAAATGAAGGAGAAGGAGAGGGAGCAGATTAAGGAGGGAGGAGGTGAGGTCACCACCAGAGAGGCAGAGAGCCCTGGGCGCTGACAGACCGACTGACAGATACTCACCATTTCAGTGAACTCATTACTCCCCAGGTCCAACCTCTCCAGCTGCGTGAGTTTCTGAATGCTCCTGTAGACACAAAGGACAGACAGGGAGTGAGACATCAAAAAAAAACCCACTAAACTGCACCCTTTTGATAAAAGGGAGAAAGAAACTCTTTTTTTTTTTCCAGATTATCTGTGAATTTCTGGGTTATATTTTGGGTAGCATACATGCTCTGCCTTTGTTCCTCTCACTGAATAATTTTATGAGGAAATAAATACCATTTAAAGCTCAGGCGTGACAGAAATATGCTTTGAATAATGGAAAATGTGACGTATGCTAGCCCTAAGCCTTGCTCCAGAATTTTCTCTCTGCATTCAGGTCACAGTCTCACATTCTCTGCTACACTGTAAACAAGCAGATAAAAACCAGGACTATTCAACTGTTTATTGTATTTAAATCATCACCAGTGACAGAAAAGTGGAGTTGAAAGACTCTTAAAGGCTCGAGTCACAATAGAGAATGAGCATCATGCTTCCATTCTTCATAATCTACTGACAAGATGCTGTTGAGGGAACTTAAAATATCACAAAACATTCACAACTCTGCTTCTGAACTGACATCACACCCACACACACAAAAGTCTCAAACAGCGAGAGTTAAAGATCTGCAGGAGTAAAATAAAACACACAGTCCACTGCTTCAGTGTCCTTGATTGAAAGATGTTTCTCTTCATAAAATATGACAAGGTCAGGTGATTAAATGATATAACTCTGGCGTGATAAAGAATTGTGATACACAAATTAGTTTAAGATGATAAGGAGAATGTTTCAAATCAAAAATTTCCTGAAGAGTGAATCAAAAAGTTTAAAAAAAATAATCCTACACACAAACCAACGCATGAGACCATGAGTGGAGATGAACAAGAGATGCGTTCTGTTTGGGAACAGATATGATGTTACTTCCACAGCAGGGATGAACCATGCATGAGATTCAGCGCAGGATACGAGAGCAGAGGCCCAGCAACACCACTCCTCCCCATAAAATAAGAATCTCAGCCATATGGCGCAAATTATAAATGTGATTTAAGCCCAGTGGTTAATTCTTTTTTGTGCTTGGTGCGATATATGAAAACATGAATCACGTCGATGTGCTCGAGCATCAGCCAGCTTTGTCACATTCTTACCTCAAAGTTGGCAAGAACACCAGAGACCCCCGTGCGAGCTGGGAGGGGTGAGAATGAGCTGTGCTGGCTCATGTAGAACGTGAGTTCATCAGTAAAAAAAAACAAAACAAAAAAACAAACACTGTGGCTTATGACCCCAAGTTGTGAGGAACACAGCAGCCTTCTTTAAAATACAGAGAAACATTTGGTTTATGCATGTGCTTGGTGTGTGTCTGTGCACCGAGAGAGAAGAGGCTGCTCTTTCTATGTGGATGCTCTGAAAAGACTTCTCCTGCACCCCCTTTGTGCACGCACACATTTGTTTACATCTCTGAAATGCTTGTGTGTTGCTCTGGCAACGTTCCCGATAATTAGTCCTTTTCTTTGTCAGGGCTCCAGCCTTTAACAGGTCTGGCCTCTGTCACATAAACACAGCCAGAAGAGAGGATCCGCTCTGAGCCTCAGCACTGCACTGCTCTTTATACACCGACTGGCCCGTCAGTCAGCCGGTGAAAAATAAGAGAAAGGAAAAGTGAGTGAGATAACAAAAGGAAGCTCAGCCAGAGGCAGGAAGGACAAAAAAGGCAAATGGGGAAACGGAGTTTTGAAATGGAATGATACATCAAGTGAAGCATGAGTGACGACAGAAAGAAAGTAGCTCCCCCGCCAGTCACCTGGAGCTTTCTCAAATATTCGTGGGACGTTTAGTCTCCCAGTGGCACTCTAACCTTCTCAAATGGTGAAATAACCCTCACCGCTGTCTCAGAAGAGGATTATAAAACCTGTCACAGCAAGCAGCCAAGTAAAGGGGGCTCTTATGTAACCCAGTGGAATTTAATACTACAGTTAGAGGTGTGGGGAGTGAATCTAGAGGAGGGAAAAAAAGAGGCAGGATGGAGAACACAGCAGAGACGTTGCTGGGGTTGTGAGAGGAAGGAAACAGCGAGGAAGGAAGGAAGGAAGGAGGGAAGGATAAAAATTCATGACTCGCTTCAGGACGCAAACATGACACTCGCAGAGACACAGCTCTTTCATTCTGAAAACATGGGAAGTAAAAACCACTTACTTTGGCAGCATCTTTAACTGGTTCTCCCTCAGCTCCAAGATCTGTAATTTAGTCAACCTGCAACCAAGTAGAAAAGCCAATGAACAACATTAAGCAATGCAACAACTGACAACATCTGATCTTCATACTGTAGTAACTATATTTACATGAATTACTTGACTAACTATCTGCCTGTTAGTTAGTTATTTCATTTTAACATTTATTCTTCAGCATTTTGCAGGTTTATCTGCTACAAACCAGCCATGATGTCAAGCTCCATGACATTCAACTCAACAAACAAAGGCTCTGGCGTAATTATCTCTTGTACTAAAGTAGGGTGTCCATACAGAAAGTAGAAGAGAAGTGTTAGTGAGAGGAAATAGGCCTGTGGGACTAACACCCACATGGGAACCTCATGTCACATGTTTTGTGTAATCAGACGACTCGACACCAGCTGCCGTGTTAACCACAAACAATAAAAACCTGACTAATTACAGTGGTTTGATTAAATAACCTGTTTAGCTTTTAAGAAAAGGAGTCGCATCTTAATTCTTAAAAATGATAAAACACTAAAACAATTCTATTTATTGAATAAATAACAGCATTTAATACAATATGGTTATCTGGTAAAACATCTCTCTCAGCTGTGGGGGTGGCTTACAATACATATGCCTTCATAAACTGTAAATACTTCATCTTTACTGTAAGCAAGGACTGAGTGATACTGACGGATAGAAATTCACTTTGTGTCCAAATAACTTAGCATCAATGTAATTACTATAATGCAGAGATGACATAAGCTAGTCTTATGTCATAATCAATATTTTGTCAACACCCAGCTGCACTGTAGATTAGGCAATGACAGGAAATCTCTGTGGCTGGTCTAACCTTATCAAACCCGCCATTCTGTCACATGTGTGATATGTTTCGACATTTCTGACCTTTCATTGAAGGAAGACCAGAGGATTTTAATGGAACATTTTTATCTCATAGAAATAGTAAAATGTTCTTCTTGTGTTCCTAACATTAGAGTCACAGTCGTGTCGGCGTCATGACCCACTGAACTACTGCATCTGGCTTCACACAAAACACACACTTCATAACACAGTCAACATCGAACAGTAAAGCCTGAGTGTACAGTTTGTACTTCAGCTTCTTTTTTTTGTGTTAGAAACAGTCTCATCTTGATCCAAACCAGAGAACAAACTGACCTGCCAAAGCTGGCGGGTAAGAACTCCAGAAAGGCATCATTCAGGTAGAGCTGCGTCAGACTCAGGAGCTGGGTGAAGCCTTCAGGGAGCCTGACAACACAGGAATTACATCACTCACACGAAGCCTGATAAAGCTACTGCAAGGCCAAAACACTGAAACTCAAAAATAAATACATGTGTAACATCAAAACCAAAATGTAGTTTTAAAAGCTATTACATAAGGGTGTGCTGTACTCACTTGGAAATGGGATTCACGCTGGCCTCTACAATAGCTAGGACTTTGCAGTTCTTGATATTTTCTGGAAACTCCTGGATACCTGCAGAGAAATGCCAAGCACACGTTACAGTAAGTGGTTTAAAAATAGCCCAAACTACACAACACAGATTAAACATCTGCAATGCCGTATATCTCAGCCGTTTTATTACCAGTGGCACAAAACAAATGACTCCTGTCAGAAGCAAAAAGATGAGGGATAATGCAAGCTGTCCTGCTGGTGTTTAGCAGGAGGAGCTTTGTGAATGTTAAACACAGGTGGTTTGTGAGCACTCCGCTGATTGTAAGGACAAGCAGGAAGGCTCTCTGCCTGAAAGTCGGTGAGCTCGAGGTACATTAAGAGAGGCGCTGCACCTTTCCTCTCTAAACAACCACCATGAGAAGAGCGCTTAAGGTGGCATAATAAAAGAGGAGAGGAAGAAGAAAAAAAATAAAAGACCACTGAGCGACCGTCTGCGAGTTCTCATGAAACATCCACAATGTGCAAACTGCGAGAAAGAGGATGTGACCCAGTCTCAAGGTTTATTTCTACCCACTTTGTTTTGTGTCCACAACACTTAGCACAGAGTGCTTTACGAAGAAGGATAAGCTACTTTTAATGTCGGCACGGCACATAAAGCTCTGGTTCATGAAAACACCACCACATCCTTCACCATTTGTTTAATCTTAGGCCGTCTCTGCACTCACTCATTTATGTTAGAATTACCTTTTTAACCTTTCTATAGCCTTTGCTGAGCAGGTATCCTCCTCTACAGCTCTGCTAAGCTTTAAGGTCACATAGTGATGATCAACCATCTTATACAGCAACCTGCACTGTTAACAGGTTGGGCTTGTAGTGCTTGACATCCATGTGGGAAGCACAAAGAATATGTCAGACAGGTTGACGTCTAAGTAGTGACATGTTTGGAGCGAAAAACCCTTTGCAAAGAATATGCAACAGGATGTTATGAAAGTACTGAGAAAAATTAAAAATAGCACAGTCACCTGATTGATCATACGTGCAGCTGGTTATTAAAACTGTCAGAGCTTCAGACACTTAAACTCTGCAGCTGCTTTTTGTTCTGAATTTCAAACTAGAGCAACACTGACAGTGGAAAGTTTTCATCAAACGGGCAAAAATTAAAAGGACGAACCTCTTAATCGTATTCTCCCGTGTGAGTGTTTCATCATCAAAGAGGTAAATGTCACATTTTGTACAGATATTCTCATAGTTGGCCTGAGAATCAGCTCAAAAAACAGCCTCATCCAGCTCCGTGTTGTCCCTGCTACGACGCTGCACCATGAGGATAGTGTCTAGTGCGATGCAGGTCTGAGCTTGTCCACTTCTTTTATCCATCACATCAGGGATTTTGAATCATGCAGCCTTGTGACGTATCGTGGTAAATGAAACATGCTGTAGCATTTTACCACAGAATATCTTTCAAAGCAGTCTAAACATGGCAACTCTCTGCTGGCAGTTTTCTTTTTCCTTTTTTTTTTTTTTTTTTTTGGCAGTCAAGACAACACAAGGACAACAAGGCAAGTTACGCTTTTGAACTTCACAGGTGACTGCACCAGAGGCTGTGGTCAGTTTTCAGATCTCAGCAACACGATCTGATGAGCAGCTTTAAACGTGTCACTCAGACTGCCAGTGAAAAACACTTCTAACCTGAGTGACAGACTGAAGACAAGATAAAGATGTGAGGGAAAATAAGTGGGCACGTTTGCTTACTGTTTTTGCTGACATCCAGCTCCCTGAGATTGATGAGGTTTGCGATGGCTGCCGGCAACACCGTCAGGTCATTATCTGGCATGCTCAGTCGGTGTAGTAACTGGCAGTTAAACAGTTGCTGGTGGAGACAGAGAAGAGATAACAGTTGTTTGTGTACTGCTGGACAAGAATATACGGTATAATATTAGATGTTTAAATATTCTTCAAAGGCTCCTCTTTAAAAATGAATATGAATGAAGTCAACAATGCAAGCTTTTCATAAGAGAAAAAACAAGTTAGACATGCATCGAGTTTATATTTAGTGGCCTCATGAGTAACGCCTCATATACATAACTATGTGTGTCTTACTTTAGGCAGTTCCTCGATCTGGTTGGCATCGAGGTAGAGTTCCTGCAGGGTCTTCTCAAAGCTAAAGATCTCCTTAGGAACAGTCTCCAGGCTGCAGTGGGAGTAGTCCAGCGATGTTACCGTCTCCTCCTCACCCCGCAAGCAGCGGCATGGCACCAGACGAACAAACAAGCTCCGCTTGGACATCCTCAGTCCCTGGAGAGGGAAAACAGAGATATGTAAAGGGAGTAGAGGATTAAGAGGAGCCGAGGAGGTGGGCTTACGTACAGTGCTACTTTCACATTTCAGCTTCAAGTGTCTAGATTCACAATGTTTTATCCCTCCTATGTAACACATCAGTAATGTTTTAGTGCAGTTTAAAAATAAACACTAATTTAAAACACCCACACACAGACTTTGACATCTGATCTATGCATCTGATCCTTGAGCATGTGACTGCAGTCTGAACTGTCAGAACAGAACATAAATGTTGTTTTGCGGAGACGGATCACTGTCAGTAGTCTGTGTCCACAAGCACATGGAGAGCAATGACTCAGGCGCTGATGAGAAAGAAATGATGAAGTCACACACTCAGTTTGGAAAAATGCCTCCACTCAGTCAAAACTACATGTGGACATGTTTTTCAGTGATGATGACTGTGAGAACAGCCCCTTGGCAAAACAGGCGGCAGCAGGGTCAACAAAAGAGGAGGCATAAAACTCCCATCAGTTAAATGACTGTGGCCATGCAACATTATTTTTTTTATTTATTTATTTCTATATATATATATATATATTTTTTTTTTTTTACATTGAACTATCAGAAATCTATTCTGTTTCCCAACAACAAGGTTGTTTTAGGATGGAGATTGAAAACAATCAGACACTTAGAAAGGGGATCTGATCCAACAGCCTTTGGTGTGAGAACATCTGCAAACCCCCAGGTCCTATAAAAAAGGGAAATTTCAGTATTTGTCAACCTTGGTCTTATTCTCATATTTTTGTCTGATATAATTATTAGTCATAACACTTAACTCTGTAGCTCACCAGAATGCTGCAACACTGTCTCGGACATTTTAGAAAAGCAGTGGTAGTAGTAGCTCATCTCTCTATATAAAACTGTCCAGATTCTTTTTTTGTCTACTTAATGTGTTTACTTTCAGCTGGACTTGAAGTGTTGGAGTGGTTTAATTCTAATAAGTTTAAGTTTTATGAAAAGATTTATGAAGCCTGCGCTCCTGCCACCAGTCAACACTGTTCTTCTCCAAATCTCCACAATGGAAGTGGTGGATAAACTGCCATAAGGTGGAAATAAGTGAATAACAAATTCCCTTAACATGGCCTCACTCATCAATTAAAAATGTTCAACCGTTTTGTGTTTTTGGAGAAGTGAATTTGGTTAAAAAGAGACCATGGTGTGAAGCATTCACAGCGTGAAAGCTTTCCAACATTATCAGTAGATTTATAATTGCTCTTCAGTCCAGAGGCACTTCTGTAGAAAAGGGCCTATCAAAACAGGCGTGGGTTGCATCATGCACACTCCATCTTATTATTTCATGCAAAGCTTTGTGCTGTTCTTAAATTTGCAAATAGATTACAGATGATCATTGACAATGAGTCATCGTTCAGTGAATTAATGCTCAACACATCCGACCAAAAAAAGATAAATAACAGGCCTATGAATTGTATGTGCTTTTAAAGGTTTTACTAAAAAAGAAATAGCATCCCAGTGGAGCCCAATATAAAATGTACATTTTTAGTTTCCCATTTCACTTTCACTTGTGGGAAAAGCTGTTTTCCACTTCTAAAATTTCCATAGGTATGCAGAATGAAAAGCTTTTCAATATCGTGGGCTGTAGCCTCATTTGGGTTGAAGCTGGGGATAAAAATGCAAAAAGAAGTAGGCCATGAATCAGCCATCGTTTTGGAAATCCGTGTCCTTGACTGGTTTTATCCAAAACTCTCTCTACTGCAAAATAATGACATAATGAAGCCAGAAAATCTTTTCAGCTTTCAAGCTGGTTGGAGAAAGCTTACAGGGTGGATGGAAAGGGAGTTGTAAACCTGTCCTTTAAACTTGCTATGATTTTTATAGCTGGAGTTTCAGGGTCAACATGCAGGTTTTCACCAAGTACAGTATCCACTATGGAATGTGCTCTGGTCAACAGAGGCTTTGTTCTGTGGACCATGTAGAGAATGTGACTTTTCCTCCCCCTCGTCTTAATCTGAGCGCCGCTGCAGCACATAATCTCCAAGTCCTTCACTCACTGCAGATCCAGACTGGAAGTGTGGTAGCCATGACCCTCAGCATCAGTCACACCCACACAGTTTGTGTGACCAGTTGCTACAAGTAACTATGCCAGTCATTCTCCTCTGTGAAATCTGGTTAACCGTATGCATCCCAGTGTCTTTGTCATCAGATGTACAAATGTTTGGAGATGCTTTCTCTGGACCATGCAAAGTAGGTGTGAGTATTTTTGTATTGTACTCAAAATATGACCTGATGAGTCACGGACCTTAAAAAAAACTGAACGGACTTCAAATGTGTCCAAAGTTGACTCAAAGGAGGACGGGTCAGCCATCCCGCTATCTAAACCTCATTGAAAATGGGCGCCTGTATGTACACGCCCACACTCACATGAAGTATGCACAACCAAGAGGTTGTCAGCCTCCCACACACACTGTGCTATAGCAGCAGGCAGCTCATGTATAAATACACTGAGTAATCTGGTCTATCACCAGAGGGGATGACAGAGGGCTTGGCTCCATTCACCCCAAGTAATGAGCACTGAGTGTATGGATGACGCATGATATGCAGAGTGGGAGGAGGGGGAGGACTGGAAGAAGAGGGAGTGTGACATGGGTTAACGGAGAATGGGGTAGTTGTGGATTATTGTGAGGTATGTGAGCAAAAGCAATTAAGGGGCAATAACAGATTAAGGGTCATGAGAAACATCGTGGGGAGATTTGTATATAGTTTGAAAGACTCACGGGAGAGCAGTAAGAGCAAAACAGGAAGGAGACGAAGGGTAAATGATCAAAGAATCTGAATGTCGGCTACATTACAGAACAGAGCAGCTCAGACCTGGCATTAACATGTGACTTGGGTGATCCCATCACGTCTCCGAGTACAGGTGTGAAAGCACCCAAGACGCATTGAGGACGTATTTAAGATCCGATCACTCAGACTGCATTCAGAGGCGGTCTGAGCCGCATGTGGCAACATTCTTGTGTGTGAATGCAAATGTGTCCTGGGCCACACTGAAGGACCGCCTACTCAACTTTTGTCCTCTGCCACAGTCTGATTTGTGCCGCCACAGTTCCATCAATGAACTGAAAATATTTTTACACTTCTCAGTGTTTGCCATACATTGATTTATTTGAGGCAGCCTCTTATTTCATTGTAGAGCTGTGGCAGCGCATTGATTCGTTCACCCCCTCCTTGCCCTTCTCTCTCTCTCTCTCTCTCTCTGTCTGTCGCTGTCTCTCTCACAAACACACTGACAACAGACCGTCTGTCTGTCGCTGGCTAAAAACAACAACACATTTGGTCTTTGCAAAAAGGGATCATGTACATGTTTATTTGCATGCAGAGCGGGGAAGTGAGATCAGATCACAAGTGGTCATTGGAGATGTACTTGGAGACAAATGTTAATGTCAGGTCTGAACATGGCCAAAGAGTCTGTATTCACAATGATCCTTACACGCTGATGGTGAGCAGGCACAGTGTTTTACCATGTTCACCATCTCAAGCACATAAGCATTTTATCATTTGCACATCAGCACTTAACAAAACACACCTAAGGCTGATGGGAGTGTCATTAGTTTTGAATATCTGGTCATAAACCAAAGTGCTGGTAGCGCTGGTAGCGCTGGCGCGTTGTTTACCTGTTTTTTTGCAACGTTTTCTCATTGTCAACAAATCCTATAAAAATACCCAAACGACCCAACAATGAACTGATGCAACTAACAAGTATTGTTTGTGTATCTAGAATCTGATGGGTCTCATTCCTCTGTGCCATAGAGCTCCATTGTTGTCCAACGACTGTTAAAAATACATGAGCACAATGAGTCACACCTTTGGGTGACACGCTTCTTCATTAGAATCAGCATAGGCACTGCAGATATTTTAAAACTGACGCAGATAAATACTCATTGTATGAATCCACAGCTGAAAATAGCCCAAAATGTACTAAAGTTGACAGCTTTACTCCTGTTTTATTTATATTTGCTAAAAAGTTGTTTTAGGAAGTCATTAAGCACTTTTCAAAAGAATTTAAACTACATATATATATATACACTTATATAATGATTTATTGTCTACAGCAGAAACAAAAAGGCTCAGGGTTGAGAGCAGGGAAGTCAAAAAGTATCGAGAGATGAACAAACACATTGTTGGTTTGGTCTTTTCAGATACTTTGTTGACATAAAAAAAAAAAACAAATTCATCTTGCACAATGTTGTCAAAGTGCCGAGTAAGATAACTGGTGGACCTTGAATGACAAGCTTATGAGTCAGGTACCTTGCCAATTTGAAAACAGTCCTTCAAAAAATAAACAACCTTTATAGGAGGAAGTTCAGCTGCTCTCAGTAGGTCAGAGATTTACGATACCCAGCACACAAATCAACAGATACACGTATAGACATTATTTTATAACGACGCATAAGCCCAGTTACATTTGCATGATGCATAAAACACTGTTATACACTGCTGCACAATTGCAGCTTTCCCTCCATAGGCAGATGATAGAGGGAAGTACTGCAGTAGTGTTATTGTACATCTGTCTCCTACCTCCTTTATGACATCCTTTATTATGGTTCTATTGTGCCATTAATGTGTTGTTTTTACTTTGTTCTACGAGAAAGTTTACCCCAGAAGGAAAATAAAGAGAGAGTGAAATGGGCTGGATAACTGTGGCAGGGCTGTGCTGCCTGTCTGCCTGTCTGCCTGTCTGCCTGCCTGCCTGTCTGTCTGTCTGTCTGTCTGTCTGTCTGTCTGTCTGTCTGCCTGCCTGCCTGTCTGTCTGTCTGTCTGTCTGTCTGTCTGTCTGTCTGTCTGTCTGTCTGTCTGTCTGTCTGTCTGTCTGTCTGTCTGTCTGTCTGTCTGTCTGTCTGTCTGTCTGTCTGTCTGTCTGACTGACTGAAGCCCCCCTAGAGTAATCTGGAGGGCAGCGTAGTAATGAGAACCGCACTGCCTACAACATAGATAGGCTTATC